TTTACATTGAATCATAAAAAATCTATAAGGATAAAAAAATACATATATAGATTAAATATTGTAAACTTTTACATGTATAAAAATAATATAATCTATGCGGTTTACAATTTTTTTAACATTATTTGTTTACTCATTCCTAAGAATTTCATAAATATAAATTTAATATGACACATTTTCACAATATTTTATTTTGCATATTTTGAATGACTATTTAAAGATAAAATACATTGTATAGCAAAATAAATATTGTATAACTTTTCTTTTATTTTTATCAATATATTTGTTCAATTATTTAAATTCATTTATATTCATATATATATATATATCGCTATATTTACACATTATTGACGCTTTTTCGTGTTGATTTAAATTGATTCAATTAATTTCATTTAACACAAACATTTTTTAAATTAATTTAAATTTAAAAAAAAATATGTTATTTAAATCTTAAAAATTTATATATTTTAGATGAAATATTTTTTACATATGCAATGTTTGCTTTAATATTAAAAGATAAATGAAATTTTTTCGCTACTCATTAATGATCACTTCCATTTTATTATAATTGATTTAGTTTAAAAAATTTTTATTATTCTGTAATATTATATTCATAATTTTATAAATTAGTGTATTCAAAATAGAAGATAATAAAAAAAATAATTATTGTTTTATATATTTCATTAATATCAAATATTAATTATATTAATGATGATTTAAGGAATTAATGCATGCAATTATGAAGATATATTAAAGTTCAATTATAATTAATTAAAATTGGATCTACTCTTTCTCAAACCAATTATCTCAAACCAATACTCACCCAATGTTTATTTGATTTTACAATTATAAAAATGAATATTGAATATTTTCCAACTTATGATTCAAGTCATTCATATTATTATTATAAACAGTATAATGTAAAATCAATACACTAAATTTGATCAATAAATTGAACTTCAAATGCGATAGAAAAAAAATTTTTTAAATTGGAATGATACAATATATTTAAGAATATCTTGAAAATTTATTATTTAATGTTTTAATGTTTTTTTATACTTGATGATTAGAAACTCCAAATATATGGTTCATAATTTAAAGGATCTGGTTGTTCCATATGTCCTGTATGAGTATTACTTCCAACCATACATGATGGATAGGTAACTCCAGTATTTCCTTGTCCTGATACAGGTGCTACAATTGATGCTAATCGACAATCAGGTCTTTGTTGTATCATAGAATTCATTGGTTGTATAGATTGAGTTGCTTGTGGAGGACCTGCTGGAGGATGTGATTGAGATTGAACAATTGTAGGAGGAGGTGGAGGAATATTATGAATAGGTTGTATTATATTAGAACCTGAAACATAATTTGCCACTAAAATGTGGTTTTAAAAATTATCAATTAGTTTTTATCACAAGAAAAACAGTAAATATTTAGTTATTAATCTTACTTGTTCCATTATGGTATGATAAAGTTGTAGTTTGTTCTGATATCAAGTTTGTAGAGGGTGAAACCATTTTCATCGCAATGGACTCGGTTTTTCTTTTTCTAGTGGGTCGTTTTTGCGTATTGTTTGACATTTGATCACGTTTCTTATTATTGTTCGTTTTTTTCTTCTTTTCACCTAGTAATTTAGGTTTATTTGGTCGATTTCCACTAGGCTGCCAAAGATGTACAGTATGTACAGCATTTCCTTCTCTAAAATAATCGAATATTGCTTGATAACGAATAAATATGAATAATAATTATCAAAAAATCTTTTTTTCGTTTTTTTTGTTTTATTTTTTTTTTTTTTTTTTTACTAACCCTTGTTTCTTTCCAAGCTTCCAACTATGTATACCAGCTTTATGAAGCCTCTCTCTAATAGTATCTACGCTACATTTTAAACCCAGTGCAGGCGCGACGTGTTTAGCTGCAGTTAATGGCTGCTGAGTAGCCATAGCAACAATAGCTTCGTCTTGTTCTTTAGTAGTAATTCGTCGACGACCCTTTCTTTCCTTAGTTTGTACATTCCCTTCCTTATGCCAACGTTCTAACCATCTTTTTACGGTACGTTCCTATTTAATAATGAGTATTGCGTATACGGCTACTCTTGAGATGGTTTTAATTATGTGAATCCATCAAGACGAACATGTTTCTTCTTACCGATCTGTCGATTGCAAGCGCGATAGATAATGTGGATAAACCGGCTTCAGACATGCCAATCATACGATTTCGAATTTCAACACTGGTTTCCAATGTTCCCTTAGCTTTCCCACCCTTTTTTTTCTTTTTCTGTGGTTCACTTTTCGCGCTGCCTTCTTTCGATGAATCTTTACTTTGATTAGATTCTATACTAGAAGACTGATTATTATCTTGATGACCACGAATATTAGAATTATCAGAAGTTAAATTCGTACTATTTTGTGGACTAGCTAATTGAGAATGTAATTGATCACTATGATGCTGAACTTCTGCCTGAAGTTGCCTTTGTTGTTCATCAAGATTATGAGTTTGTTGTATTTGTTGTACATGGTTTTGTTCTTGTTGTACATGTAATTCTTGAAGTTGCTGTGAGGAAGCCACTTGTTCATGAGATATTGAATTTGATTGATCCTAAAAATTTGAGAAAATATAAGTTATATATAATAATATAAATATCTATAATATTAAACAAATTATACAAACTTGAGGATAGTGATGACTTCCTTGCACTAAATCTAAAGGCCAATTCTGAGATATATTTAAACTAGGATGTTGATAAATAGATTGTGTTTGCTGAGATAAACTTAGAGTACTACCAAATTCTGTCTGAGATTGCAAAGGTTGAGATGATGATTGCATTTCATTAACTTGAGATTCTGAAGCATTTTGTTGATGATATATAAATTCTCGTTGTTCATCAGATTTTTCATTTTCTATTGGCGCACCATCCCCTACATATATATCTTTGGCTCTAATTTTCTTTGATGGATTTCTTTTTTTAGTTGTACTAGTATTCTTTTCATTTTTATTAGAATCTTTGGAAGACTTTTTTTTCCCCAATTGTGTTCCAGTAGGTCTCCATACAGGTTGTTGAATAGTAACACCATCCGTATCACTATAAATAAGAGCAAAATCAAATGGCATAAAAAATAAATTGTTTTATTTTAAAAAATATTGATTTCAAGAACAAACCCAAGTGGAATTCTTTGCATATATTTTCTCGAAGGACTCCAATTGTGAATTCCAGCTTTATGCAGTCTTTCACGTATAGTATCAACAGAACAAGTAAGTCCTAAAGCAGGAAGTACAGCTTTTGCTGCTGTTATCGGCGTTTGCGTAGCTAAACGTACAATAGCTTCATCTTGTTCCGCTGTTGTAGCCCTTTTACGTCCGCATCTTTCTCGAGTTTCTACTGTGCCTTCTTTGTCAAACCTGTTTAACCATCTTTTCACTGTCCGTTGCTAAAAAAAAAAAGAAAATAAAAGAATAAAATACAATAAATAATACAAAATGATCCAATATTTAATTTTGTAAAATACTTACTGAACAATTTACAGCGGCTGCAATTTCTCGCAATCCTAAACCAGCTTCATACATTCCTACCATTCGATTTCTTAATTCTGGTGTTGTTTCGTGCACTCCTCTTGTTTTTCCCATTTTATTCAAAATTTTTAAACGCAACAAATGATACGAATGTTGAAAAAAATTTTAAATTTTACGCGAAATGTGACGTAAGAATAACGGGGATCACGTGACAATGGCAGTGCTCGATCATAAAGTTTTTCGAAATTTTAATTAAGTTTCTACAATCTTTTTCCTTTGTCGCGCGATCTTTAAATTTCAAAAACTTCCACCGTATCATTCTATTTTGTGATTAAAGTTCTGCTACGAACGCGTTTCAAAAAGTATTGTTTCTTTCTTGTCTTCGACATCGTATTGTGCTAGAAACGAATCGAAATCTTGGCGTCGATGGAATGCAATTGGAACGTTCAATGAACTCTATTCATTCAATAAATTTACCTTGATTATCTTCTTCCAGTTGAAATCATATGTTCAACATTGCAGAACATTGAGCACACTTTATATTTTCACTTTTAATATCTGTTGTATATCTTGTTTTGGGCGAAATGCAATCGCTCGAAGAAAACGCTGCGGTCAATACAAGTTCAGCTGTACAGTCTGTCGAGATTCGTTTGTCCTTGTTTTGTCTTTCGTGATTCTAAATTCATCAAAGTATTGCTGCACAAGAATTTCTCTTTCTTGTAGAAATATTGAAAATACAGCATAGAAAAGTTGTAATGATTCATATTTAAATTTTGAAATATTTTCAATTTAAAAACTGCTGTGACACACATGTGACAGAATCGTCAATATTAATTCGGTCAGACTGTACTATGTCATCAACTGTACAGTCCGTCAAAATCATTTTATGTAAAGAAAATTAAAATTTCATTTGATTTAAAAATTTCAAAGCAATTAAGTATTTGTTATAATATTTTTTTTCAAATTTAACCAAATTTTATTTCAAAAAAAGAATATATATATTTTCTTATATTCAATTATCAATCAGCTGACTATACAACGGGAAAGATATGACATTAAAAAGGTTATGTCAAATGAGAAAATTAAATACATAATAAATACGACATTTGGTCGGATATTGAATAAACGATTACATCGTTTTGTCAAATTTTATCAAATGATACTATTGTCTCAATACTTAGAAAATAATATCAGTTGTAATATAATGTGAACAATGGTCAATAATTTTAAAAGACGACTGTACTTTGAGACGAAGTTATTCAGGATTTGTTCGGGTATATTCGCCTATCTTCGCTGGAATTATATTGACCCACAAATTACCTCCCTTGCTTGTCGACACGCGGTTATGGACATGCTGATTTGTATTTCGGCGCGAATTTTTCAGAAAATCTCTTTTTTCATGTTGAATGAATGAAAAAAATGATAATTTCAAATAAATAATATATAATTTTTTAATTATTAATAACATAATTTAATTCCTTTCCTATAAATAGATTTAAAAATAAAATTTTAAAAGAAAATTTTAATAACAATTAAAAAGGATAATTTTATAAATAACAATGAATATATTTTCATTTTTTATAAATAATGTTTGATAAAGTTGATTCGACAAGCATAGTGAACGATTCTTTTGCAATTTGTAAACAATGAATGAATAGGAACGAAACGAGGCATTTGAATCGGTTGAATGTGTAGAAGATAAGATATACATAGATAATAATATACATAGGGTCAGATCGCAAAATGGTAATATCCGCCAATCAAATCTGCATTTATGTGTACACCCTGTCCTATATATGTAGAATCGAAAGGTTCGTTCACCCGTTCCTTTTAACTTAAGAGATGTTTTAATTACTGGATCAAAATGAATAGTTGCAATCAATTAACACGAATTAACTGGAAATACGATCTATTGATAAAATAAGTGATTGATGAACAGTGAACTAAATAACATATCAAAGGTGGAAAATTTTATTCGGTCAGAAGCGGGTGCGGTGCGTGAGGTCAGCAGTTAAGAGATCTCTTTTGTCAGAGAAGAGTCGTTGAGCGGATACACGTTTAGTCGCGCCCTCGAGCTTGCTCACACCATCGTTCGTGACGATTATACGTTCTACTGAACATTTCTCGTTCTCCGGACCTCGGCCGGACCACATTATCTAACTCAACTTCGATTGGAGATCATTAATCGTTTTTTTCAATTTGTGTCATTTCAATATTAAATAGAAATCATGAAATATTCAATACTGTTGAGCTTATTAATCACTTGCTTGATTTGGTCACCAATTGTTCATTGTGGGGTTCGTATCATAAAAGTATCTTTAAAAGTATACACAACTTCGTTTCATATTTTATTATTTTCTTTTTCTTTTTGCAAACAATTTATTGCTGTTTGTTTAAAAATTTGATTTTTCTTTCTGAAAATTCGAAAAAAAAAAATAAAAATGATGATCGCGCGGTTGCAATTGTGCGCGTATCGCGCTTTGGCTAAGAATGCATTTATGTGAGTATTTATAAAAGAAGAAAAAAATTCGATAATAAATTAATATAAAAGAGAAAGAAAAAGAAAATCATATTTTGCATTATTATTATATCATTGATATTATTATTATTTCTTCTAAAAAAAAAAAATGTTTCATAGACACGACCGAGTTTTGTCTCTGACGAGATGATCGCAACAGCAGCTAGCGTGGTGAATGCTTGCCAGACACAGACAGGAGTGGCAACAGGTAAGATTTTTGATTCGTGATAAATTTTACTCGATCGATTCATTTTCATTTTTTTTTATTGTTGTATTTTTTTATTTTTTTTTATTTTAGTGGATATAGAGGCAGTAAGGAATGGTCAATGGCCTGAAACACGTCAATTAAAGGTAATAATGCATAATAAATCTCACGAGTCAATTTGTAGCTATAAATCTCACGACTTATTAAACGAGGGAAAAAAGCGTTCTTTTTATTTTACAGTGTTACATGTATTGTTTATGGGAACAATTCGGATTAGTAGATGACAAGAGAGAACTCAGTTTGAACGGCATGCTCACATTTTTCCAAAGAATACCAGCATACAGGGCTGAAGTTCAGAAAGCAATCAGCGAATGCAAGGGGATCGGTAAATATTTGGGTATCTATATATTATATTTTGTATATTCTTCGTTTTAACGATAATCGAGCGCTTTCGAAACTTATTTTTTGTTTCTTTTCTTCCATAAATCCTTCGTTTCTCTTCTTCCGTAAAATTTTTATTTCTTCACGTGAAGTTTGTTATTTATTTCCTATTTTATTTCGATTAATCGATTAATCGAACCAGACAAAATTTTGATCGTTATTTCAATCGTTTCTTTTAGCTAAGGGCGACAATTGCGAATACGCGTACAGATTTAACAAATGTTACGCGGAATTGTCTCCACGGGTGAGTATCTAATAATTTTTATTCGACGAAAATATTTTTTTTTTTATCTTTACGATTATTTCAAATGATGATCTCTTTTTCTATATTCCAGACGTATTATCTATTTTAATTGAGTTTCATCTGAGCCAAAAAAAAAAACAAGATCAAAGGAAAACGATGCTTATGATGACTGTAGGACGAATCGAAAGGTAGAATCTTGATTCGTTTTATCATAAAACGGATACACCGTTTGAATGTAGACGACGACTCTCTGTACGGGAAAGAAGTTAATAAAAAAAAAAAAAAGAAAAAAAAGGAAAAAAAAAATTCGAGATCATCTATGTTATTTGTCTTACTGTTTCCTATATCGACATTTTAAGATATGTATCTTTTATGTTTTATTCGTTTTAAAGATATTTCGAAAATGTTGATACTACAAAACTGGAGTAACCGTTTAAACTATTCAGTTGATCGTAATTTCCGATGCTTGGTCGGTCCAATTGTCAATTGAGGTCATGATTAAGCGTGCACGATAGAAAGGAATAATTTAAGAACGAGATAAATTTCGTTTGAATAATATAATACATTGTAGTAATACAATATAACAATAGAAATTTTTTTAAATCAAAAACCAACAAATTTTACAATATCCACGTAACAATGTGATTGATTAAACAACGCTTTTTCTTTTATATATAAAAAATGAAAAGTTCGACCATCCATTTTTAATTGTTATGTATTCATCGGATAGAAGGAAACACGTTTTAATTAATGTCGTTTTCCAAGATGTTCAAATATATAAGTTCTGGATTACTAATTAAACGTTTTGCAATTACATTGTATTTCATTCTCAAGCTTCGTGTTTGATAATTACCCTTTGTTATAAATTAATACCTTGTATTAATGCTAAATTTTGTACTTCTGTCAAAGTTTTTCTTTGGCTGTTATACCGTATTATTAAATAAATGTTCTTGATCAAGAAGAAACGTTTGCGTATTCATTAGATAAGCAAGATTTGATTCGTGTTTTTGAATTAATACATACAATTTGAAAATTATGGCGACCAATTATCACTTCCCGTTTGGGCAAAAAGTGAACACCTATAAATGCTACGAATTCGTTTCCCAGGAAAACAGTTCACTAGTATTTTTTAGTACATAAGAATCAACTTTTTTATTTTTCTATCAACTGCAACGAATCGTTGAGAAAATGAGAGCAGCGGAAATTTGGCTGGTATCATTTTACTATCTGATATTGCAAATCGTTCTCGTTTATGGAGGAATTGTAAGTATTAAAATACATATTTTATAATCTTTTCTTTAAAATAACCGAAATTTTTTAACAATTAAGAGCGATATCGACGAATTTAGAGAAATGACATCTAAATACAGGAAAAAATGTATCGGTGAGACTAAAACGACAATTGGTAAGTGACAAGATATAATCGGTGAAATTTTTTAATTTGATTGCTAAAATCTAACAATGATATACTTTTCCAGAGGTTGTCGAAGCTACGGAATACGGAGAATTTCCTGAAGATGAGAAATTGAAATGTTACTTCAATTGCGTATTTGAAAAGTTTAATGTGGTAAGATTCGTTACTTATATTATTATATTATATTATTTTATATATATATATATATATGTTTTGTATAGTACAGATGGATAAGAAAAATGGAAAGATAAAATATGATTTACTAAAAAAAATAATTCCAGAAGCGTTTAAAGAAATAGGTAAAGAAATGATTGATTCTTGCAGCAGTATCGGTAAGTATTCCAAAGAATCGTGAATTTTTTATTTTTAACGCTCTCCCAAATTTATATATTTATAATATAAATTTATTGTTTTGATAATTTATTTGAATTTTGAATCTAATTGAATTTTTCTTTTTTTTTTTTTATTATTTTTAGATTCAGATGATAAATGCGAAAAATCTTTTATGTTTATGAAGTGTATGTTCGAAGTCAATCCCATAGTAAGTCAAATAGAATACATTATTTACAGATAAATGTAATATCAAAATTGCGAAAATTGTTTTCATGAAAAGAATATTTTTTTCATTTTCTGTTTTCTAGGCATTTATTGCTCCGTGATCACCAGAAATACAGATTGTGGATCATTACTATCGTTATTATAAGATAAATTTATGTTGGATCCATATTTCATAAAAATATAATTATTTATGAAAATGTGAAATATACGTTAGAAACATATCGACCAACGTTTTGTCTTGAAAACCGTTCACGCACGGCAAAATATATTCGGATAAAATAGTATTCGCTAAATTTCTTCGTTCATATAGTATACACAGTATACAGTGAAACACAACGAGATCAATTAAGTTTCTAATCACTGTGACTATATCGCTAACAATTCTTAACGCTACGTTTTACGCGGTTTCGTTTTCCTTTTATTGATGTTCATTATTTGTTCGACTATAATATCGTCTGCTCGTGGATCGATAGGAACAGCTTGTACCGGTGTTCTCGAGATCGGCGCAGGTTTCGACCACCTTTCAATCATAGTGTTCAACCATAACCAAAGTTTTTCACGATTGAAGAATGCAAACGTGATAAACATGATAAAAGGTAACGCAACTATTGATGTCTGATTCATATCGCTTTGATCGACTTTTCGTTCTGCGTTAAACGTCAATTTTACGTATTTAAACGACGAGTTTGCCTCGAAATAAAATGGTATAGTTCTGTATTTGTGTAACGTATGAGACAGAGACGATTCTAATTGTACGAAGTACTTTTTACCATCCGCCTGTAGGGGAGGCAAATGCACGAGAAAACCGGCATTATAAGCGCTCCCAACTTTATTCACATGCTGAGATTCTAATTTTGATGTGTATATTGGAGAGTCCGGTGCATCTTCTCTGCATAATTTTACCTTCAATGTACGATAGTGTTCCGGTTGTGCGGACATAATATGTACTGAGACATCGGTACGCGATATCGGATGAAACGCAACCAATCGAAGATTTCGAATGTCGGATGATGTTTGCACTAATGTCGAGTTAGGACTTGTTCGTTGAATATGCGCATTAACTTCAGCGTTCGGTTTCAGACGGAATACATAGGTACACTATATGAAAGAACAAACAATTTTTAATTTTTTTAAATAATTTTAAATAAATGAGCTTAGATAAAATACGAAAAAAAAGAAAGGAAAAAGCTATAAAAAGATGTCTCACCGTTGGTTGAAGCCCACGGATTCGGAAGCTACCGTTTTCTTCCGTGGTTGCTTCTTCTTGAAGATGTTCGCAATTTTCTTGTCCCTGAACTTCAACCAGCAGGCCGGTTTCAGGTTCACCGTTTAGAGATGTCACGGAACCGTATGCACTAAATGCGACTCTTTTTCCGAATAAATTCACTTTTATCGTAGCACCTTCAACAACTTTGATCATTTTCGATGGAGGATCAAAACGATATTCCTTCATCATTGGTCTTAAATAGTATTCGCCAGGGGATAAAGAATTGAAGATTAATTTTCCATCCTCGCCAGTAATGCTGTTTTTTCGATAACTTTGTCCACCAGATAATGATAATAGTACACCCTAGTGAACATGATAATTCAATTTCATTTACTTCTATATATAATTATAATCTTCGATTTTTATTCATTTATATGCACCTGGAGGGAAATATTGTCAGCTTGGTCTGACACCTGTACAATAATTTCAGCCAATTTGTGAGCTGTAAATACACCGTTCGAATCGGGTCCCGTGATTACAAATCCTTCTTTTTGTGCAGTAACGCTAACGAGAAAAAAAGGATAATTTAAAAAAGTATGTAATTTAAAAAAAAAGGAATAAATATTTTTTGAAAAAAGAAGAAAAGAAAGAAAGCATATGTATATACTTGTATTCTATTTTTCCATCCAAAGGACCAATATTGTATGTTCCATCTTTTTGAGTGATAAGCGTGTGTATTGGTATAGTTTTATCGCTATCAAATATTTGTACGGTAACTCCTTCCAAAGGTGGATTGATTTTACCAGCAATTATCTATACAATACACAAAAAGATTTTAATATATTAATAAATCAAATGACAAATAATTTTTTCAATTTGACATATATTTAAATAATTTTTATGACACATACTTTTCCTAAATCACCAACAAAAATTGCAACGTCATCTTGACAATCGTTCACACCCAATACTTTCAATGATGCTGGACTAAATAGAAGAACACTTGATAATGGTGTTATAGTATAAATGTTATCTGTCTTTGCTTTAAATTCGAATTTATATTTGTACAGATTTTCATGGCGCGTCCAATTCAATGGACCAAGTCTAAATTAATAAAAACGATGAAAACATTAACATTTTTAACATAATTTATATTTCTAAGATATATTAAATTATAATGCGCGTTACTTACATTATAACATCATCTGCATTTTCAATTTTTACTTTAACTTCATTTAATGCAGAATGACTCATAATGCTTCCTATATGACTGTGTTCTGTCGAATGTAACAAAATAGGAGAAATAGTACTAGTATCCCATGTATAAGATAATTTTTCATAAACATGACAACTTTTTGGTATAAACGTATACATTCCAGGTTCGGAGACACAATGCTTTGTACTTCCTTTATTCAATACTAATGTTAATTTTTTCAATTCGTTTGATTTCGAATATTCAACTATAGTATCGTGAGAAGAAATAAAAGTAATAGAAAATCCAGTTTGTTCAAATGGTGGCAATTCGGATCGTTCTGAAGTCACAGAAATTCTGTAACTAGGATTCGTCCAACAAAAAACATCGTTGTCTATTAGTACTTCGTAATGACCGGGTAACACATCCGTAAATTGATATTGGCCAGCTGCATGATTAAAGAAAACTTTACACAAAAAACGGTAGTATCGAACGAATTAATTGTACAATATGCCTGTAATAATAAGAACGTGTTCTCTAATTGAATATTTATATTATATTTTTTATAATATTCCATTCAAATGTACAATAAAATTCTGCTTTTTTAACACGTGCTCATTATCGCAGGATTTTTAAATAAAAGAAAATAATACACAAGATCAAAGTGAAATCTTACCCTTCGTTTGAATCGTTTTTATTGTAATACCGTCAAGTACCTTTAACGTCACAGAAGCTTGACTGCAATCGGTTTCCGGTAAACATTTTACTGTTCCTATTAATGTAGCTTTTAACTGTAAAAAGTTAATATTATACACCGGTCGAGATGATACTTCGATTGTTTGTTGTAGTGGAAAAAATCTTAAAAAAAAGAATGATATCAAATGTTATTATGCAATTATTAAATATTAGAATTACTTCAAAAGAATTAAATTTTAGAATATATTAATTATATACATTAAAAAATGTACAAAATGATGACAAACTTACTGTAAACCTTTTGCTCTTTCATCTTCGCTTACAATAACGCTTAATTGATATGTATCAGGACTAAGATATATACAAAATTCGCCTGTTTTTGAATCTATTTCAATTTCTTTTGTAAATGTGGTGGCCGTATTATGTATAGATACTTTTCGATAGTTTAAATCTCCTCTTGTTGATAAAGTAACTTTGCCGCAAATTTTATATGCTGTTGGTATTAAAACTGGAAGTTCCGGGGAACTGGGAGAAATCTTAACTGATTTATCATTGAATAATAAATCTTCTATATATTAAAAATAATAAAATCAATAATTTGAATTCGAATTTAGTCTGAAAATATAATAATAAGCAAATAAGGCATACCACTTTCAGCTTTAAGAATATATTGACCAGCTTTCATGTTATCTAACACATATTTTCCATGATTATCCGTTATGGCAACTTGCTTTTGAGAAAGTAAAATTTTTGCTCCTGGCAAAGGATCGCCATTGCTGGCAGTACGGACAATACCGTTTACCGTAAAACCAGTTACTTTAAATCCTTGGCGTAATACGACGCTGCCATGACTTACTTTGAATGACAATTCAGGTGGCTGAACATCAAATTTAGTTTGAGCCCCGGCATAATATGGAACAAGATTATATTCGCCAGGTGACAAACTAGGAAATACAAATTTACCGCTTTTGTCAGATACAACATGACAAAGAGGTTTTCTAGATTCAAGATCTTTGCTTATAGGTGTTGTTGCGCAATTCTTAGCTACACCGTTCTACGAAATAAATAGATAAAAATAAAAATAATTTGTTAGTTAAATAATTTGTTAATTGAAAAACATTATTAAAAAGGTAAAGAAAAAAAAAAAAAAAGAAAACTTACTCCAAATAATACAAATGTTACACCACTAACTGCTTCTTCTTCACTGGTAACTCGACCACTCACGTCATAACCGAAAATTATTAAACTATCATCCGGAAGTTCTGTGTTGCCTTCACGTACTGTTACTCTAACTGTATTTGTTTTGAACATCCATCTATAACAAAGACATAATATAATATAATATAATGTTAATAAACAAAACAAATATAATAGATAACTCACATAGTATGAGATGCAATAAGTACATATTGTCCAGGTTGAATTGGAGTAAAGTAAAATATACCACTTTCCATAGTAATTGTTGTATCAACAGGAACTTGTTCATTATTTTCTTTATACAATGAAACTGTAACATTTTTAGGACCAGAATCTGATCCTAAACTAATAACCTAAAATATATAAATATATTTTTATAATAAATTTACAAATGATCACTTCAGTTCCATATATTTTTGTTTTTACAAATAAATATAAATATAATTTACAATAAATATATTTTAAATAAATTACCTTGCCTGTGATACCAAAACCTTTGAAGGTAAAATTAATATCTATACCCTGACTACAGGCATCTGTTATTCCATCTACATTCAATAAAACTTCCGTAGGTTCAAAACTCCATCCTCTGGGTGGATCTACCTAAATATTTTAAAAAAAAATAATATTCAGAAATGAATGTAAATTTGTTATTCTTAATTTCTAAATTCGCTAAAATCTATTGTTCAAATAAAATGATAAACATGAAATTTTGCTATAATATATATATTCTACATTACCTTTAGAATGTATTCTCCTTTATCATATAAAGGAAGAAAGTAATATCCACTATTAGGGGCACATTCTGTAAAATCTTTAAGACTACCAGCTTTCGTATATCTAAATAAATTAAAAATATTAATTTACATTTTTTATTTTATGAATTTATTTTATAATTCATTGATGAATTACTTACAACTTTATTTGTACTTTGGAAAAATCTATATCGGCATGACTTTTCAAAAATCCACCACAACCTAAAATATCTTCGGCATTAGAATATGTAATTAGAATATAAAGAAAAAATGTTGAAAATAGAAAAATGGTTGGTCTCATTGCTTATTTATCTCATTCGATATTTAATAATTTATATTATACGATTGCCACCGACACGTAACCTCAACAAATGTATACGATTATACATAAATAGTGGGACAAAGAGAGAGATAGCTTAAAAATGTAGAAATTAACGCCATCTCTAGAATCACAAATGAAACTATTATAGATAAGAAAAGAAATAATGTGAGAAAAATAAAGATGAAAAAAAAGTAAAAACTGATTTTTAGCGCCATCTCTACTTTTTTATTTTTGTAAATCAAAAGATAACATTAAAAGTAAATTCCTATTCTTTTTCTCTCATTATTTTTTATTCTTTCTTTCTGTTACTTTCATTTACGGCACACTAAAGATGGCACTAATTTCAATATTTTTATCCTATCTCTATCCTTTTTCCATTATTTGCTCTCTTTGTCTATACTTGTTCGATTCAAACTTTAATTTTACTGCTTCAGTACATGAATTCAATTGTTTACAACTTTTTATGGCTATATACGATATATTTTAAAAGTGACTAGTTACTATTGATCATAAATAAGCGACTTGTTTTTTTTGTGCAAAAACATCTACGTGTTTGTGCAATTAATTTTAGAAAAAAGTAGTGTCGTCTCTAAATTTGCAAACTGATCATTCATATCATAACCTCTACGACTATATTATTTAAATATATAAGTACGCAACAAAAAAATTAAAGAAAAAAAAAATTTTCGTTAGAATGGTGAAAATAGCATTACAGATGAAAGCTACATTGGAAAATATAGGAGAATTAAAACCATCGGGAGCAGAATTCAGATGGTATCTCAAGTTCACTTGCTGCAATTGTGGCGAAACATCAGAAAAATGGAATTATGTGTCTTTGAACGAATCCACTCCAGCTCAAAGAGGAAATGCAGTGAATCATTTTATTAGTAAATGTAAACTTTGTTCTCGTGAAAATTCCATGAGTATCTTGGAAGATTCCATTAAATCATTTATCGCGAATGATCAAGACAAGTTTCAAACAATAGTTATATTTGATTGTCGAGGCATTGAGCCCAGTGACTTTTCGGCAAGGGAAGGTTGGATTGCCAAAACTATCAATGGCAAAGAATTTACAGATGTTGATTTAACTGAAGGAGAATGGGTCGATTACTGTGATAAGATTAAAGAACCTGTTGGAATTTATGAAATTGAACACAAGTTTGAAAGAATGAAGTAATAAGTATTTAAATGAAAAATTTACAATGAAAGTGTCAAACGCATTAATTTTTTATTTTAATCTATCCACATAATACGATGTTATATGTCTGCATTAAAATTTTTCTTTACGTTTTTATGATTCTTTTCATTTTCTTTATTCTACCAAATTTTACTTCTAAACAATTTTTTTTTTAGATAATTTAACTTATACAAGTTATTGCGCATAAATAAGCGGACATTTAAAAGCATCTATAAAACTTGTAATTTTCTAATGTAGGTTATGAAATATTGTGATCAACGAATCAAATATTTATGCATTAGTATTATTATTAAATAAAAAAATGTGTATTTGCTGCTAATGAAAATGAAAAATAACAATCTTATTGCATATTTATGTACATACCACATACACAATCTGTATATTTATTTTATAAAAATAATTAGAATGCAAACAGCCTTTATTATTATATTTTGCTATTATTACTAGTTTAGAAAAAAAAAATATAAAACAGCAAAAAAAGTAAACCAAGAATATCAAAAGATCATTTAGAAAAAAATTAAGGCAAATAAATGCACATTTCCAACGACATAATATAATTTATTCATAATCATATAAAAAAAGACCATTTAATCGTGTAAATGGTTTAGTACAGAGAAAACTGCAACAATAATTTCATATTTCTCTTTCAAGTTCATTGAAAGTTGCCGATTGTACCCTGCATAAATAATCGGATGACTAGCATTGCGCGTTAGCAGGGGAAAGATTGAAAATTTTTATTCATTAACCAATAAACAAGTTGTCAAAGACTTTGAACAAGATATATCAGTTATGTAATTAGAATTCATTCTTTAATGTAGTACCTTCGGAATGTATCGGTCTACTTAATTAATTGAAATAATGAAAACTGTAAAGATGATGATAAAATGATGATGATGATAGTAGTAATAATAATGATAAAAATAATAGTAATAATAATAATAATAACGAAAATGATGATGATGATAATAATGACAACAATAATTATTTACTTATATAATAAAGAAGAAAAATTAAATCTTTTTTAAATGAAAATTAAAACATACATATATACATATATATCTATATGTATACATGTATGTATATAGTATGTGTATATGTGCGTGTGTATATATATATGTATAAAATTTTTGAATGAATTGACCTGAGCCGAACATGATTTAACGTGAAACTAGTAAACATTTCACGCGTTACGGCAATAATTCTAAACTGGCTAAGAAAAATGTAATCACAGTTCCCAACGAAATAGGGAAATAAATCACAAGAGAGGATCGAAAAAAACGATTACGACATATTATGGTCGATAACTGGCAAACTAGCTAGCGCACTAATATTTGCTACTACTATTGTTCTTCTAACTTTTTTTTTTTTTTACTATGGTCTCTAGCACATCTAACACAAACATAAATATCGTGTGCGTATTATATGTCGCTGCCTCTTTCCAAGAGAACTCGAAACATATAGATCACAAAGAAATAATCACTATCGAAAACGCTTAAGATCTAAAGATGTAATAATATAATATATAATTATCAATAACGCTATCAGTCTATTCTCACAAAAATATCACTGTGACTGAAAGTATTTCGTTCTACTAAACCGTCAGAGTCAAATTTTTAGGCGTCGAAGAACAAAGAAGAATTTTTATTTTTGGCAACGGATCGAAACGGAAGAACTAATTTATCGACGGTAATAAATTTGAATCTGACGATCATGGAAGATCTCTTGACGATTTCTCCGACGCAATACGGTATCGTTTCTCTACGAAACTCAGAGAAATATATTCTAATAATAGCTTTTCTAATATTTACGAACGTCTATATAGCATACAATGCTATTATCAACTAAACAGTTCTATACTACCTTGCTAGGTTATTATCTTTGGTATACTAACGGGAAATGTTTGTTCCACCGACAGAATCGACAACTTTGCTCCTAGTTCCATTGTTATCTTGACCATTTTTCTTCGGAAGTAGCAATTACGAAGTAAAAATAGGAACATTACGAGTTAATATAATATGTATATATGTATGTATGGAAAGTTGGGATGATAATACCAGCACGTATTGTGAACGCGAGGATTAGTCCGCGGATAGGCCCGTGAAGGTACGCGAATCATTCGATCGATAAATCGAAGGAAAAAGAAGGAAAACATTATACCAGGATGGAATATAAAAAGAGAGAGAAAAATGAGAAGGATGGAACGGGATATTTTTCTGATCTTAATTATTTATCCTTACCTTATTCGAATCCTGAAAAACACTTCGAATGAGTCACGTACAGCCGCGGTGTAATCATAGAACAATGCCCAGAAAATATGTAACCCTTTTAATTTTGATTCTTTTACCATATGTAAATAGGCAGAAAAATAGATCGATCTCCTTTTAAATAATTATAGGTAAATTGAAATTCGACTATCGCGTCGATCATTGGTATTTTTTTCGGTGACTCGACACGTTTCAAAAACATCACACACATTTAATAATTCGATATAAGATTACACGAAGAGCGTGGCCGTGTTACGTGCGGTTGCTCGTCGCGGGCCGTAGCGATATAACTCGGTGGATTCGCGAGTTAATTTCACGAGAAGGGAATCGATTCTTTTCGGTTCCGCGCTGGGTTCAAGGCAATCGATCGGTCATTACCGGTTCTAAGCACGTCTGCTTCAAAGTTGCGGACTGATCCTCGAGACTTCGCTTCAGACCCTCAATTGTCTGCATCAGCATTTGCCTTCGCAATTGGGAGAGTTGATGTTGAAAGATTTGCGAATCTTGACCGCTTGTATTCGCGATTAACCGTTCTTGTCGAAGCCTGGCCACCTTTTCCTTCAACGATTTTCTTGAATCATCTGTAAATCGACCAAGGGAAAATGAAAATTATCGTTAATAATATCAAGATATATGTAAAATAATACCTGTATCATCGGTGGCGGTATCTCCATCCGAGTTTCTCAAGACGATCTGCTCACCCAAAGTTTTCTGTATCCTGCCATAAGATGCACTACCTGCGTACACTTTTCTTTTTACCGGTTCACTTTGCGGGCAATAGGAAGATCCTTCTTTTATGGGACCCATATCGACCGACCTAGAAAAGAGATCATTTTTTTCAAAATAGATCCTCTATCAAAATACAGCATATTGATCAACATGCTAACCTGAAAGTCATTAGAGGTGCCCGTCTCCTGATATCACATCTTTCCTCAGAATCAGAAGAACTCGATGTTACTCCATCTTCCTTGCCTGCGTTGGATGATCTCGAGCTGCGAAATTCCTTCCGATTCACTGCAGAAAAAGAATCTCTGTGCGGTAAAATGGCGCATGGCCTATTAACGAGGTAGGAAATTTGAGGTCGTGTCGCGCATCGATCTACGTCCGATCCAAGGATACCGTTGCAATTGAACATTGTCACTGTGCTCATCGTCGTTTCCGCGCTCTGTCGTCCGTCGTTGTCATTAGAATCTTGATTCTCGTAGATTTTTGGTCGAGAGGAACGGAGCAGGCTTCTATCCAACGATTGTTGTTGATTCACCACTCTTTTCGAAACGAGCGGAGAGTCAATGGAGCATTTGTTCGAGCTCGATTGAAACGTGGCTGCACCAGCGGTTGGCAAGGAGACGTTACGTTCGGCAAATCGACGAATCGGAGAACAAGTGTGAACAAATTGTTGCCTCTTAGGACTCGTATGTTCGAGATCTTTGATGCTACCACTCTGCAATTCTGGTTGAGAATTCCTGCTTTTAGAAAGAGCAAGCTCTATGTTCAACTCTGTGCTCTTGATGAGTTCGACACGCTTATTGGCCAGTCCATTGTGAAACTTTCGAGAAGGTGATGGCACAATAGGTAAGCTGTTTTGATTCTTTTGCATATTGACCAAAATATTTTCCGCCTCGAGAATCAGTTCCCGATATTTTTTGTCCGCTTCCTTATCGGCCTCGATCAAGGCGATTTCAGAGGCGAATGTGGTCATATACGTGTTGTCGGTATTACTTATCTGTCGTCTAACAAGATTTCCATTCACATAGCTTACCTATAAATTTAACGAAAAGTGAACATACAAATACATTCTATCATTATGATCGATTAATATTAAATAAATAAAATAAAATAATATTAAATAAGCGTACCGAATTCGATCGTCTTTTAACGGCATCGGGGTCATTGGTTATTATCCCAACGGCAGGTGATTGTTTATCGTTTAATCGCAGTGGTGACAAATTCTTGTTTACATCGTGTTTCTTTCGACGTAAACAAATTGGTGTGCCTCCAACGCTTCTACTACCCTGATTGAAACCCGAATTTTTAAGCAACATTCTCTCTACCAATACGCGATTTAAATTTGCTGTTCCATCTTCATCATCGTTATCGTCGTCGTCCTCGTTGTTGTCGTTGCAAGTGGCCATTCCGACTACAGCTGCATTCGGATCGCGTTTGTCAAAATTGTTTGTTTGTCGACGCTGTAAGGATCTCTTCTTTCGTTTCTCGGTTAATTGCTTCTCATCTATTTGTTTTTTGTGACGTGCTAACTGCTTTTTTGTGGTATTCTTCGCGCTGATCGTTCTACAAATGAAAAGAAGATATTATCTTTTAAAATCGACACTCGAAAACACGATTGAAAGACTCACCTTTGAAGCATCGTCGCGTCGTCCCTACTTCTACGCTTCATCAATGACTCTCGCAGTCTGCTGCTTCGCCGGGCAAGTTCGCCGGCGAACGCGAAATAAGTACAATGTCCAGTGTTGGTGAAGCGTCCGGTACAATCAAGATTGTCGAGATCGAGGAACGAGCCGTTGTCGATGTAATCAAAATCGTCGTTGTCAAGGGGATCGTTTTCATCGCCGGCATCTCTAGTCGCATCCAAGTCCGACAAAGATTCGATATAGTCCTCGCAATCGGTTGGATCGCTGTCGGACAAAATATCGGTCTCCTTTTCGTACACGTAACTTTCATCGAACTTGCCCATCATCTCGTTCAAAGTAATGTCATCTTCTGATGATCTTGCACTTCGCGTAACCGACGACGCGGACGAGCCATTCTCATTTTCGTTCCCATTATCGTTTTCATTTTCGTTCCTGTTCTCGTCCTCGTTATCGTTGCTGCTGCTACCGATTCCGTTGCTACCACTGCTCACGTTGCTGCTAGTGCTATTGCTGGTGCTGGCGCTGCTGCTGCTGCTGGCGCTGTTACGTCGTTGCACGGATAATGCTATCTTTGGCCGAATTTCCATGCCAGACGCTATTCTCCAATTTTGGTTTATCCTACGAAAAAAAAAAAAAAGGATTAAATCTTTGCGGGAAATTAAAATTTGGCTGAACAAAAATTAATTAATAATTAAATTATTATTTAAAAATTTTGAGAAAGTTTACGGAAGATTTTCTGTATTGTATTGTATACTAACGGACTCCTTCCAGCGCTAAGACTCTCTTGCTTGAACTCTCTTCTTGCACGCCCCACTCGTACGCTGCTCGTGTTCACGTCGCTTGCGCTTCCGGATGATTCGGTCAGCTTTAATCCCGAGCCACTGCTAGTGTCGTCAAGATTCAATCTCGATTTGAAACCAGTTGTACTCGAGCCGGAGGAATTGGCCGAGAGCCACGGATTGGTACGGATCCGCGACCGTTCACGAGGCGATTGAATAGTTGGTGATAATAAAGGCGGTGGTATAGAAGAAGGTGGGACAATTAAATTGCTTCTCGAAGATTCCGCGGAGATTGATTCGGTTCGTCGATGATATTTCTCTCGTAGTAACGCTCTCTGTTGCAATGATCTATCCTCATCCAGAAAGCGATCACTGATCTATTTGTGTAAAAAACGAATAGCATTATTTCACTATGTGAAATGTGAATTTTTTTCTAGAAGAAAAAATATATTATAGATTATTGTGTCCTTCGTTTTTAGATTAGAATGTCTTTCATTCTTTATAGAAATTTAAAATTCTAATTTATTTTTCCTAATGTCGTGAAAAAAATAACAAGTTCACTTTTCAGAATGTTTTATTAACTCGATAAACGTACCTTGCTCGGAGTATTAGTTCGAAAATCTTTTGTCACTTCGTTATCCATTCTCATCATTCCAGATGCGAAGATCGTGGAAGAGGTAGAAGCAGAAGGTTCGATATTGCCGTCGTACCTTCCATGTCTACGTCCAGAGAGTACAGCGGTCACCGGCAAATCCGACGAATCGATCGATTTCTTTGGTCTGGCGTTGTTATTGTTGTTGTTGTTGTTGTTGTTGTTGCTATTGTTATTACCATTATTGTAGCTGCCAGTCCCCGTACCTGTATTGGCGTTGGCATTACTTTGAAAGTAATGGGTACCGGTCCTGATATTGATGTAATATTCCGGTGGATAGCTGGTTCCGGGCGAGGTACCGTCCGTTGAGTATCCAGTACTATAGGCACTTTCCGGGGAAGAGAGATTCACGCTGCCGGTACCTGCTGATGTACCCGAGGATGCAGTCACAGTGCCGCATCGACTACCTTCACCGTGCAATCGAATTCCATCCACATTTTTCGAAGAGTCTATCGGGTGAACCTGCAAATAATCAAATAGTTCTCGAAATTGTTCTGAAAGATTGTGAAAGAGCAAGAGTAATTTGTTAAAATGGCGTAGAAGATAAAATGGACGACTCTAATTGGATCGTTGTTACGAGTCTAATTGGATAGCTGCGATCTATCAGTTCTCTTCTCATTTCTTCGTTCATTTCTTCCACTATCTGATAATTCTTGATTTTTTCATCTTTAAACAAAAGAAGAATCATTTACGAAGAAAAGAAGATAGATCTAGATAGCGAACAGTCGAGGAAATAAGTTGTAAGCCGATCAAATCGTGTTGTCGAAAATAATGCAGTATCAAAAAAATGACTTCGTTATCAGAAGATAATTTAAATCGAGATAAAATACTCACTTGGTGTAACGTGGATGATCTGTGTGATCCATGATTACGAGGGGAATTGCAATTAGAATCAAATCCTTTCTCCCCTTTTTTTCGATCCTTTTTCTTCTTCGAACGCACGATATGTGCCTCCATCCATGTGCGCAGTTTCGTCCCGAACATGATGCGCAATGACGATCGGCCTGCTATGCGGCGCTTTGTTGAAATATCGGCCGTATTCCTATTCAAAGGCTCCAGATCCTGTCAAGTTTCGACTAGCTTTCAATCGCGGTGACGGTGACGTCGAGGATAACGATGACGATGGCGAGAATGATGCCTCGACGATGATGATGGCGAAAAAGATAATAGGAACGAATCCATTTTGCGAACGAATAGTATCCAACAATGGCGATCCGTAATAAGCTAGTCTTCGCTCGAATTATTTTAGGTTAGCGTTCGATCATTTAACATAAATAACCGAAGCGTTTTTCTGGTGCCGTTCCTCTACAATATAAGTTAACAAATCTGAAATAGAAGACAAGAAAAATCCTATATGACATTATTTCGTATTTCAATCGGTCATTTCCTTTCTTCGTTCGCGTTCGAAATGCGGGAAAAGGAAGAATCGAAGTACACGTATGCTATAGTATGTCGATATGAGAAGGCTGGCAACTTGACATTTTCATTTCCGTTAACGTCACGCATTCTATGGTTGTTTCCTTCTATTCTTTGAATAACAGTATGTATTTTTATCATTGTAATAAGAAGCAAATACAATAATATACGATATTGTAAAAATTAGATCAAAATTAAATGACAGAGGATTATTACATAATTATATGCAATTGGCTAGCAATAGAGTTTTCCTTAAGAAAAGAACTTGGCAATTTAGCTGTTCATGGATGGTGCTATGATTGTAAAATTATCAAAGATATCAAAAATATATCGAGAATATCTGAAAAGTTTTTAAAAATATCTGAACGTATATTAGTAAGATATAATAATATCGTTAGGATAATTCTTATTATCCTAATAACGAAACATATAGAATATTCTCAAATATTTTAAATTTCTAACAATTTTATTTAGGGATTTCTCAAAAAACCTTACAATCTGTTACTTCATGAGAAATTCGTATTGTCTGAATTAATCCTGATACTAAAAACCCACATTTTTCTCTTTAAGGATTAACTTTATTTGACAAAATAAATAGCTAAATAAATTTATTTTTGTCATTGACGAAATTCTTTTCCAAAAAAAAAAAAAAAAAAAAAAAAAAATTATTCATATTTCGAAGAAAATAGAGATGAGTATATACGAAATAAGAGAAAAGGAGAAAGAAGGATAGGTCGTTTTTCATGTCCGGAAGAGGGTAAAAACGGTTACAGCGGAAAGAAGGAATCCGGGTCGTGAAAGGAGCGAAAGCTCCCACTTCTTTTCGACATCACAGCGGCGCGCCGCGACAAGCCATGCTGTCAGTCTTTGGAAAGAAAATAAAAGAAAACAGACTTTCAGATAAGAGGTATCAAAGAAGAAAAGAATAGCGCGAGAAGCTTTTGTTTCGCCCGCGAGATTTTTAAAGAAAATGTGGCAAACATTCGAGGCCACCAGTCGATCGCGAATCGGACGATTAAGAGTTCCTGAAGCCGGAGAGTTCGTCGAAAGAATCGACGACTTGGGGAAAGCGAGGCTCGTTGTTCGAGCCGACGTTCTATTGTCTGACCCCGGCCGAAGGAGAAACGCTATACAAGTAACGAGAAAACAATCATCGAAGACAATGGATAGTGCTATAGCATCGTGGTTTTATCGTCTAGACGTAGAACAGTGATGTTGCCCAACTATATATTTTACATATGTATATTTACATTATAATTATATTTTTGATTTCGTTCAAACGACGAATTAAAAATCTAAAAGATAAAGAACCAACTTTTGATATTTCAGAATTTAAATGCTAATTTTAAACGCATTCGAATAAAAAAAAAAAAGGGAAAAATACGGCGAATGGTATGTCGATATTCCGAGAACAACGAAGCTGATTGAATCGATACGATTATCGTTTCCGCGCGGTTTCTCGAATTGCGATAAAAGAACGCTCTCTGTTCGATCCTTAACCGAACTTTGATCGTATGTCGAAGTCAAAGAGCGATCGACCAATGGTTAACGAGGATGCAATTAATTTCATTAAGATGGTGCGCGGTAAACATTACGCGCAGACGCAATTTCACCACGTTAAGATAAAGATAATCGATCGAGTTTTTCTTTACAAGTGCGAACGACGCGCATAAGTTATCATGTTTACGATAAATTCGTCGAAACAAACAATGAGAAGGTCATTGCAACCATAATCGGAGAGAAGTGAAATTTGACACAATGGTCTAGGTTAAGGAAGAGGATAAACTGTTGAACACAGGAAAGAGAGTGGCTAGTGGCTAGCGAAACATAAGTTCGGAAAGGGTTCGATCGAGCACTAGTGAGTGGGTGGCTCGTTGCGCCGCGGCGTGTCATGGCGGGGTAACGTTGGTTACTATGGCAACTCTTCGAGCTCTTGCCCCAGCCAACCCCAGGGATCTACGCGATAATTGGATCGATCTCGACCAATCATTTGATCGATCGATATACATTTTCCGGTTATCCGTTCTCGTCCGATCAATGACTCGCGACACAACTCTCACCTTACTACCCTCGTGTTTCTCGAAAGATATTCCTTTCGAGCGTGAACTCGAACGAGAAGCAAAGAAATCGGTCCACGCGATTTCACGGTTCGATTCTCGATCGATCGATTCGTCCCTTGGCCTCCCTGATCGATCGTAGTCTCTCTTTTTTTCCTGTTTTTATCTCCATTCACTCATGAATCAGGAGGTCTAAGTATACTAAATATCTCGTTCATTTAACAATAAATTACGTGGGTGTATCTGAGTGGGTGTAACGAAAAATTAAAAAATTGGAACTTGAATACAAGAAAAGTACCTATTTTCTTTATTATTCATCGATGGATATGATCTTATTATATTGGTATTATTAAAGTTATCAAACTAATTCTGAGTTTTTAATCTTTTAGTGTATAATAAATGATATGGTAAATGAAATAACTAAAAGAAATAACTAAATGATTTCAAATCTTTTGTGTTGCAATGTATGTCAAGTGTCTTGATAATTTCTTTCATCGATTTTCATTGGAATTTATTGATTTCCATTCCAATTATTTATGATATCTTATTTATGCATGTCGAAAAATCCTTAAATATTTGAAATAGTAATATTATATGAGTATATATATATATATTTATACATATAATATATATAAATATATAACAATTTTTATTTTAAGTATATAATGTCTGTGATCGATTAAATGCTGTAAATCGAATCATAAAATTATGATGTTTGCAATTGGGAATTGTTGAAAACAAAACGAAAATTTTGAGTTACAGATATTCTATTGACCGACTACTTTAAACGATCGAGTAGGTCATCGAGTTTCGACGAAATGAACATAGTTATCCTGGTAACTGGAAAAACTAGCTTGTCGCAGGTTTGGTTAACTGTCGAAGAAACGATAACGGGACCGGTCCCAGGCAATATTTATACAGGCTCGACTCGTTTCGAGCGGTTTTTTTCATCAAACGATTTTCGCGATAGACGCGATAGAAGAGATAAAGTACGCGTATTCAAAGTATGCAAGACGGGTGGTGGCTGGCAGGTTGCCAACGCATACACTCCAAGAGAACCGGCAAGATGCCCCTTTATTCCAACTCTTTTCGACCTTGCACGTTTTCTTCGCGATCTTTGGTTACGAGATTTGAAGATGGAACGACAAACGCAAAAATCGATCTGAAGATGAAATGCACGTCCTGCTATAAATAACTTTCACACAATTCGCTAATGAATTTGAACGGAACATTAATCAGGATAGGAATGGGAAGGGAAATAGCAAAAAGCGTCCCCCTTTGCTCCAGTTGTCGGCGCACCCTCTCTCGGAAAGACTAATTCAAGCCAACTACCCTCGACGCGCATCCTCGTGACCAAAAATAATCCACCTATCCATTCGTCCGTGTCTATTGGTCGCGCGACGAGACAATGTACCTCTCAGTTGAATGAAAACAAAACTAAATCGCTTTCCATATTTTCCGTTTTCCTTCGCCGTCTTTCGACTTGGATATAAGAATTCTCAGAATAAAGTGCACTGCAAGTCAATTACCGACCGCTTCCCCTCCACTTACCGACAGAAAAACTTATCTCGTTCGTAATCGTTTTCTATCTTCGTTTCACTGTTTCGATTGGCGATCCCACCCTATACAGATTTTCTACCAGTGATCGTCTTTTATAATATTTTTCAATTCTTTTCTTTTTCACAAAATATTGCGCACAATATTCCCGCGAATAAACGATATTGCACATTTGACGTTTCACTAACCTATAAGAGTTTGTGCTTTATCTCACGATGCAATGTTGCGTTGATCGAATAAGTATCTTAACCACACTATTCTCGGAGGAGAAACTTTACCCACCATCCTCACGATGTGTAATGTTAGTCGTCTCCCGAATCATCTTACTCTCGATAACATTCACGGTTTTTTTTTTCTTTTCTACTCCCCTTTCTCTTTATCGAAGAAAATATTTCGCGGAAATTCAACTCTTATCCATAAGAGCTTGAACAACGCATCGATGTCTTGCAAAACATCATTAACAGAACTGGTATTTGACGAATAGAAATGGAAAAGAAGGGAACGGAAGCAGTTTCATAGTTTTATCGCGCAAAAAATGCGATCATTTTCGAAGAGGCTGAGACCCATCGTTCTATGGAATGCGACGAGATCTATTTTTGTTTCTTTGTTCAAAATTTTATCGAAAAACGTGTACTATTTGATGAATCATATCTTCCCTTTTTGTTTAATAATGTTCGAAATATATGTTTCAATATTTTTATTTTTAATATATCGTTTTGAATTTTCCCCTTAGTCCACGTTTCAAGGCGTATAGGTTATGTAACGATAAAGTATGATATTACGATGATTGAAATAAGCAAATTTAGAAAAGAGCGCAAATAAGATCACAGAAGATTAAAATAGGATTATTTATATTTCTTTTATCAATTTAAAATGACATGTTATTCACGTGAACTTTCTTTCGAAAAAAAAAAACAAAAAGAGAATAATAATGTTTCGTACATCAATAATATCTTATTATAACGAGCCCGAAATTATATACGAAATAACAATGCTTGTCATTTCTATCATCGTTACTATAGTAGTCAGAATACGATCGCTCAATGGTTACTGATAACAATCGGGATATGATTCTTTGTAAATAGAACTTGGTTTAAATAGATGTAAAAAAATTCCGTGTAGCAATCAAAAACAGTAGAACAGTAGAAGAAGGAATTGTGTTTGATAAAACAATAAAAATGCTGGGAAGTGATTATTCATTAATTGACATGCAATTAAACATGACGAGAAATGAAAGAAAATCGGAACGAAACATCGAAATCGAAATAATTATATTTTTTTACCTTGCTTTCCATTTAACGTCGTCATCCTCCATTAGTTACAACCTCCTCCCGTGTTGAAAACGAAACCTGAGAATCTCAAAGAACGATCCCTCTGTAAGAATAGTGACAATTGCACAATGGTAAAGTAATAATGCGTCTGTCCGATTCGAGAGCGTGTGTGGACCGTTCGAGAAGACAAAAAGGCACGGCCGCAGTGCGGCCGGCACGCGACACTTGGATATCACTTCTCAGAGTAAAATCTCCTTCCTCTCTGACTGTTCCGACGAGACTGAGCGCCGCCGACCACGCACCCTTATTGGGCGAGCACATTGCAGGGCCGTATTCGAATAGGGTGCTCTCCCTCTATTCCCTTCCTGCTATACCTGCTACCGCTCGCTGCTCGCTCTGCTCTGCGCTCTTTTCCATCAATACGAGTCATCCCAGCATCTCACTCTAGAAACATCGACGCGAACGAGACCATACTGACAATGAGAATCGAGAGACTGCCGTGCTTCGGGTCGTACCTGATTTCATGCTATATACGTATTCCAGAGCTTGAACGATAAAAAACGACCGATTCCTACCATTCCAATCGTTGAGAGCATGGGACGACTGTACACCAAATCGATTAATTCGATTCAATTTCAAGTGAATCGAATTCGATAATCATTATTATTTAACGAGAAAACGTTTAAAGGTTAGGACGCGTAATTTTCATAAATCGATGATTATCATATTATTGATAATATTAAGTGAATGAAATATCATTATGTGCCATAAATATAAACAACAATGAATGGAATGATAAACAATGAATGGAAGCTACGACCTTGAAGTTTCGATACATCCCTGCAGAAATGGTTAAACGGGACACCCTTCAACAACGTAGGGTAGCCAGATCCAATCGAGGGGACTTTGGAGAATTCCCATTCCCTTCGAGCCGAGCATTACCTCAACGAATAGGGAAAAGACACGAATTTCCATTTTACCGTATATTTTCGTAAGCTCCTAACGATATGTAAGACGATTCGATCAAATTTACGAGATACATAACCGATATATTTAATTATAGATGCGATTAATATTTTTTTCTTATTTTTTTTATTTCTTATTTTTTTCATTTTCTCAAAGATATAAGATATAAAATTTTCGCCAAAATAAATCATTTGATTTCGAGTCATTGAATCGCGGCCAAGTTCGAGATACGATGTAATCGTTTAGCCCTTTTCGACTTTGCCTTTTCTTTGTTCACGGCTTTTGGCTTTCGATGAAACGACGAACGAACTATCTGAAAGTATTGAAACCTTTCGCTTTTATACTTCCAAATGAATGCCTTTCGGGGTTGCACGGTGAACAAAAAAAAAAAAGATTATCGATTGCTTGGCCGAATACCTGCTGCGAGCTTTCTCGCATTTACATATCTCCATTCGGAACTGAATGCTGGAATGTCGATTCTCGTCAATTTTTTATTATCTCTTCTTTCTTTTTTTTTTTTTTTTTTTTTTTTTGAGCATCTGTTTATTCGCGACATTCCTTGAAAGAAGAAAATTGAAAGTACAACGCGAATTTACCGAAGTGATAATTAGGTAGATATGTCAACAGAAAGATACAATTCAAATACTTTTAAATTCAATTAAAAAATAAAATAAAAAATAAGAAAAATTTCGATTTTGTTTCACGATTTTGTAAAATTTTCGAAATATCCTTTCCTTCGAAATTTTGATCAAGATGAAGAAAATTTAAGAAGAAGAAAAAAAAATATAAAAAAAAGCAGAAGGAGAAATATAAAACCGAGGAGAAAAACAAGGACCGAAAATGTATGAAGTTCATATATAGATAACTGTTGATAGGTGTTGTCCGACACCCACTCAAGATTCATGACCAAAAATAAATTATATTCTTGTTCATTCGTGCATTTCATCGACAATTAACAAGAAACAAAGAAATAGATTCATAATCAATAGAAAGAAAAAAAAAACTGATAAAAACATTCATTATATTTTGATTGAAGAAATTCGCAAAATATAATACCTACTCATTCACATAATTGTTATTTATTGAAAAAATTTGGTATATTTAACGGTTGATTTACTCTTTTCTGTGCTATCCTTTTTTCTCTTGTATTTTCTTTCTTTTTTTGCTCGAAGACCGGTTAGGTTGGGGCTCATGCAGAACAGAGCGAAGAAGGGTGGAATAGGAATAGATGGGTGACGAGTACGCATCTATCGAGCGTAAACGATGCTTACCTTGGTGGCTCGTTAACGATCCACATAATAGCCATTCGTGAGAGTGTGTTTCGTTTTCCCTTTCTTTTGCTTGATCCTTGTAGAGTTAGTCCGTCATCGAAACCAACAGAAGAGGGTAACGAGTCCTTTGCAAGAATCGACTCCCTACGTTCCTAACCTATCTTTCGCAAACACCCTTTACCATATTCTGGCAAGACCCTCAAACTCGAACTCGTTTCAACGTTCCCGCTATGGAACTAACGATTGTCTTTTTCTCTTCCACTGAGCAGTCACGCGTGTCATTTTCCTTATGTGTGCTCTCAACTAAATACCACGTGCACACCCTTTTTAACTCACGCAATTCGTCTAACCACTCAAATTCGTTTAAACGAGCATCGCATTGATGTAATTTACCGTGAAATCCAGGATAGACTTTATGTATATACACATGCGATTTTTAGCTGTACACGTGACTAACAAAAACACGCAGCATTTATATACTTACGGAATGTATCTGCTAGGAACTAAGGAAACTTTATTTTATATTTGAAAACAATATATTTGATGAATGTAGAAAATAATAGCTAAAAGAAAAATTGAGAATCTAAACGTTCATAGAAATTTATTAAATGTATTATTTCGATGTGAAATTATTCACTGGGTTCAAGGGGAATTCGTTTCCAGTAATGAAGATAACTAGTGAACATATATTCGTGAGAACTCAAATATAACGAATGAATATTATACATTCTACTTTTACTTTCGAATATTGAAGTAGACTAAATGACGAAACGTGTCTTCAAAAATATTGTCTATCTTATTTATTATTCACAATTCTACATTTGTTTCAATTTCTTATAATATATCATATATCATGTCATGCAATAATATATTGTTATTCAACGAGAAACTTGTTGGAATCCCACTTATTGTTATCGCTTCCTCCTCTCAAGCAATTCATTGCATTTAACGAGCAAGATTGCATTACGTATTAAAAAGAACAAGGCAAGAAGCCTCCGTGGCGCAATCGGCTAGCGCGTTCGGCTGTTAACCGAAAGGTTGGTGGTTCGAGCCCACCCGGGGGCGGATTTCTTTTGTCATGATAGTCGTCTTTCAATAAAGATCTTCGTAATAATTGATTACTGACCCACCTATTATTTTTTCATATATAATTTTCGTATATTTATGATTAATGCATAATTATTTTATTTTTAATTTATCGAGAATTATATTATTATTCAAACCTACCAAAATAAAAACTATCCCTATCATATTCTTACTCTTAATCCTCTTTTTCTTCTTTATCTTCAATTTTTTTAATTGATTTGAAACTAAAAAAAAAAAAAAAAAAGAAACAAATGTCATATTATGCACTATGAAACAAGAAATATTAATTGATTTCTTAGAAATAATGAAAAAAAAATATTTTTTCATATCCGCCCAACGTGGGGCTCGAACCCACGACCCTGAGATTAAGAGTCTCATGCTCTACCGACTGAGCTAGCCGGGCTGTTGTAATCTTTGACGTATTACAACAATGACATTGTATGTTAATAAAACAAATGAAATATATTTTTATTTAAGTTATCTCTATATTATATCATTTGATTTTCTCGTATTATAGAAAATGTAAACAATATAGATATATTTATAAACATTTGTAAATATTTGTAAATTGTTTTAATATTGGATTTTTGTTTATTGAAAATTATTAAACTTAAAATGAATTTATTCAAAAATACTTAAAATGTTATACTTATCAGTTCGATTTATTATTATACGATATATTATCAATAGATTTCATATCTTAAAAGGTTTTTGTTATTTCTCAATTTATTTATCGAGATCACATACAATGTAAGTGTATGAAACTTTTAGAGGAATTTCCTTGTTTTATGAGGCTTTCTAACGTCTACTTGAGGTTCGAAAGTTAAAACTAGCTTTATTTCACTTAGCTGTTTCTTGAAGACTGTTACGTATATATAAAAATATTTAAGAACTTCCATAACATAATCCCTTCGATATCTTTTCAAAAGCTGAAACTATAATTTGCGTATCATTCTTAGACATATGTCTACAAATAAAATATTCATGAATTTTGGTAAACGTCTTTTCAAACATAAATCATAAATTTTGTTTAACCAAACATCGCCTTCTTCGCTTCGAAGGATAAAATAAAAAATTGATTTGAAAACTTTAATGACATACAATTTTTTGCTATAATTTTTTGCGTAAAATATTCTAATTACATTTATTACATATATAATTTACATATATAATTTCTTCTTTATCAATGGTTATTACAATTAAAATAATTATCGCAAATAATGTAATAGAATTAAAATGGTTATGAATCATAAATAAATATTTTTTTTCTAAATAAAATTTAATAATTGTCAAATCACATATGTATTTTCGAAGAAATAAGAATAATTGTTTTTTTTTTTAAAATTCGAAAAGATTAAACTTAATGTAATAAAACATAGACCAATTATAAAAAAACATTATCATATATTTTAACTAATAATTATATAAATTTAATAATTTCAATCAAAAATATAACAAAAAATATAAAACAGAAAATATCTTTTTTAATAATTTATGTTTAATATTACAGTTTTTGAGCCATCGTAAAGAAAGGACTGTCTTTGCTCTTATTCAAGTCAAGAATCATTCTAAAAGTTTTTAAGCGTTCAATGATATTTAAGCTATCGAAATAAACTAAAATCAACGATTAAAGATTATAATTATTAAAAAATAATTATAATAGTGTAAAAATGATGAATTAAATAATAAAACAAAAATAAATCAAAATTAATCATGTGCAGTCAAAAATATTGACCTAATACCGAGGACAATGTGGAATCATAAATAATAAAATGAAGATAACCTATTAATATTTCCATTGACAAATATTAAACTAATAAAAAATTAATTCTGAGAGTAATAATAAAAAATTTTTGTTTTAAAAAGATCATTCCATAATATAAATATAGAATATGATAAAAATATATAAAAATAAAATATAAAAAATAATTAAAAATAGTGTGAACCGTAAATAAAGAAAACAAAATCGTCCCCTCCTCGATAGTATAGTGGTTAGTATCCCCGCCTGTCACGCGGGAGACCGGGGTTCGATTCCCCGTCGGGGAGTTTTACGTTTTTTTTTTTTTTATTTGTTCATAATTGTGCTAATTCTTCATGCTATGTGAAAACACATAGATACATTACTTAACTGTATAGTATGGATTTTGTATCTTTTTCTTTTATTAACTTTTTTTTATACTAATTTTATATAATAACTTTAAAATATTATACTATTTTAATTTTTATATCATATATATATATATATATATAGAATACCAGATAATTGAACATATACATTCGGGATTCGAAATATGTTTATATTACTATGTATATTTTTTTCTTTTATTAATTATCTGAAAGCGTAGTTTTATTTTTATAGTTTATTTTTAAATAATATATATAATTTTTTCTTAATTTTAATTTGTTTATCAATAAATAATAAATAATAAAAATAATCAATATATATTACACGTTTTAAAATTTTTTATGTAATCAAGGTTATATGAAGATACGATAAAGAAAAAAAGAAAAAAGAACGAAAAGTACTTTTTAATCGACGAGGATGGGATTCGAACCCACGCGTGCAGAGCACATTGGATTAGCAGTCCAACGCCTTAACCACTCGGCCACCTCGTCTTCCGTTAAGTTTTGGATTTAATACACAGAACATATTACAATATAAATCTTTTCAATAATTTGTTATTTCTTCAAATTATTGAATTTTTCAAATTAATCTCTCAGCGCAGAAATTATTAAAAAACGAAAATCCTATTGTTTCAAATATATAATATCGAATTACATAGGTTAATGTTATTTATATAAATACAAAATAATTTGAGATTGTAGAACAAATCAATAGTATAACAAATCAAAAGATCGTTCAATAAATTCACAGATAGAAAGATATGATGAAATTAAATCTATAGGAAATTTCGAGAAACTCTGAATCTAAATAATGATATAATTTAAGTAAGTATAGTTAATTTATAGAAATATTAGATATTTACCGATAATTTATTCGTGAATGAAAAAATAAAACTCATGCGCTGTTTTTCAAGATACATGGTGAAACGAAAAACCTTATTTTGGCTGGCTGCCAGAATTTATTTGCTCGCAATGCAACCTCTCCGCCATTGTCGCGCGGAAATTTTTTTCAGATTGTCGTTTCGTTGTCCGTTGTTCTTCGAATAAGAATGGCCGTGTTTATTACGTACGTATGCTTAATACATACGGGTAAAAAATAGATGAATAAAAGCACATGGATATATCGAAAAATTTTTTGAAAGGAACGAGAGAATAACGAGAAATATGATAATCGTTCAACGATTTAACGATCGCCCATTACCAAGAAGCAACGAGAAGGTACTTTTTCCGTAAGACAAGTAGTTTCTTCCAAGGTGCCAAGATTGGCTCTTAAGAGAACTTCCGCGATTATCTTCTCGGCGATGATACTTTGTCGAGGCATTGACTTTCTCAATTTGCCGGCCACGTAACGACCAAAAGTCTCGAAATGATCATCATAGCTGGTGAAATGTCTCGGAGAGAGTTCGCGACTCGATTCCTTCGGTTGACGATCCTGAAAATTTTCCTGTTGATACTTTCTTCTCAAATAATCGGTTTGCGCGGCGTTCGATATTCTTCTCGCGTATGATCCTTCGGTTTCCAAGATGATCGGTTGAAAAGCTGGGACAGAACTAGCTCCCGGTGAGGGTACGGGCGATGGTGGCTCGATCTTGTCTACGTCCGTTTGCACAGACTAAAAAACAGTTAGGTTGCCAGCTGTAATTGAATGACATACGGATATATGGGCTATAGTGGCGATCGAAATATAGCATATGAATAAACGATGAAGAAGTGAACGCATATAAACAGTGGACGTTTAATGTCCAAAAGAATCACCCGATTCATGGTTATGAACGTTATGTATGTTATCGCATCGCGTCGAATCGGATCATATTACATCCGTGTCCAATATATTTTCGACGAAATAAATAAGCGTTTTATTCAAACATCCAATAAATTATTATATTTCGTGTATATGAAACAATTGAGTAAACAAACGAATGATCATTTTTTTTTTCCACTTTCCTTTTTCGATTTCGAACGTAATTCCGACGTGCTAGCGCACGTTGAGTTTCTGGATCGATAAAGTGCCGCAAAGAGAAAGAGAAATAACGAGAGAGCGATGGCTAGAGAGAAAGAGAGGAAATGAATGAAAGGACGAGCGAAAATGAGAGGAAAAGATAGGAATGGAGGAAGAGACACAAGCTCGATGTTCGGTACCAACCGTATCGAAGAAATATATGTATGTATTATTCGCAAAATCTCTCTCTCTCTTTCTCTCTCTCTCTTCTCGACTTTTATCATATAGTCGCGATAGACGCGTTACAAAATGATGAAATGCAAGTGAGCATTTCTTTTTGCGTGTCGACGAATTTACGAAAAATTTCATATTCTATCTTGAGAATCAAATAAAGTCAAATAAATTTGTTCAATCGTTTACGTAGTATGAAACGAGAAAAAGAAAGGAAATGAATCTAGTGATAGATAGATAGATAGAAAAAGGATTTGTAAGAGAAAGAAAAAATAAGAGAAGAAAGTCTCGATTCGCGCAGTCTTGAAAAAAATTGTACGAGGTCGTACCATCATCTCCTCTTGAGAGAGATCCGTTGGGTTAACCAAAGCATTTTTAACATCCCTTTCTTCGTCCAATGGACTTGTCTCGTTCTGTTCCGCGACAAATTTTAAAATATCGTAGTACCATAACGAAGATTTGTATCGTTGCCGGGGATTTTGGACCATCCTCTGCGAGCTTCGTACTTTCTTGTATTCCCTTCTGAATGCAGTTCGCAGAGTATTAATTTTTCGTATCACAGTCTCTCTATCCGCTATCGGATTAACCTCCCTTAATTTCTGTACAAGGGCGTCGTAAGCACGATTTCGAAGCAACCTGTCTTTATATCCTTTATATTTAATCTGCCATAAACAGGGAAAACTACGATAAAGTTGAATAAATTCTGCAAGAAAATCGTGCGAATATCCGATCAAATCCGACGTTGACATTGTTGCTTTTGCGCTCACTCAATTCTTGAACGAATTAAAACACCTTTAATAAATCTTTCAAATGCCAATAAAATGCAGTAGTTTGAAACAACGATTCGTTGCACCGAAATAGCAACTTATGACCGAACAACATACGCGAAGAAAAGTAGGATAAACGGAGCGTGGATGACTACGCTCGACGTCCAACTGAGGGACCGCTACTCAACACGAGTTCACAAGCTGATCAAACGTTGTATCGTGTATGCTGGTACGCCTGCCTTTGAAAACGCGTGTATACGTTTGCTCAAACCACCTTGTTGTCAATCAGTTCGCTCTCCCTCCAACAATCAAAGGTTTACTCGTGCTTGCGCAAGCGGTTTTATCACACTTGACTCTTTCACGATGACTCACTTTCGCTCATTTTCATTTTTTCTTCTTCTTTTTCTTCTTCTTCTACTACTACTACTACTTCTGTTTCAATTTCTTCCTCTACAAATTTTACTTTCTCTCGAATAGTTTCTATTTTTTATACCAAATATTTCATTGCGAATTGAAAGTCTCTTCGAAAAAGAAGAGAGTAACCAAAAGACGAGATTTCGATCGAAGTGTGATTCAACTGAAATCAGTACAGGCAACGCGTTTCGCACTAAAGAAATGGTTACTAGTTATATATACACGTGATCACATCGTGTTTTTTTGATTACATATCTACTCGCGAAGAATTTTTCATTTTTCTTTGAGATACAACAAACCTTTTAATTCGCACAGTCTCCCTTGTGCTTGAAACATTCACGTTTGATCAGGTTCGAGAAGGTTTGCGCAAACGCGAAGCGTGACAAAACGAGGCGAGGCTTTGGCGCGACGCGGCTAGGTGTGGCGGGGCAAGGCAAGGCGAACCGACCCGATGCGTCTCTGTCTGCGTCCAATGAAAGCTATTTCCTGCTAGTGTTGCCAACGTGACCGCGCAAACACGTTTCACGAGCTAGTCGAGTGCGACAGTTTATGCATCGCCACGCCTCGACGTGTACCACTCGCGTTTTTAGTGCTTTGTACGGGTTAATTGTTGACGAAAACCTAGCGGACAACGTTTCTTCTAGGCGAAACGTTTTTTATTTATAATTCAACGATATTGTAAACCCAGCTATTGTATCATAAATTCACTTCGAGTGCAAATCAAGCTGCACAGTTTCGCGAAATTGATCACGTTTCGAGATCACGGGAAGTATAGATATCTCTGGAAAGGCGAAATTGCGAAATTCGAGAAGCAAACGTGGCCAAAGGCCGGTTTTGCCGGATTGGAAAACGATAGCGCTGTTATGTGCGAACCTTCGCGCCTTATAAGGTATTAGCGGCCAATTCGTTTACCACGCGAAGCCTGATCGTTTCGATCGATTCTTGATATCGTTTATCGTTGTTGAACGATGATCTGAAATTGTAGATAATTTGCTTTTTGTGTTCCTATTTTCTTATTCGATATGTTTCACGTTTTAAAAAAAGAAAGGAAGAAATTGGATATAGACAAAATTGGATATAGACATGTTTCAAAAAAGAAAGAAAAGAATAGGATATAGATGAAAAGAAATAACAGAGAGAAAAGAGAATGAAAGAAAGAAACGTCATGATGTTTAAACTTGCAAAAGACATACTTTCACTCGTAAATAATGCAAGGGAATGAAATTGTTAGCACTTAATCGGCAATGAAACATTATAACTTGAAGAGGAGGAAAAGGGAAATATCTGATAGGAAAGTATTTGATTGGCGCCAGAAAGGTATTCTTGACGCTAACATCACATTCTTTTTAATCTAACACTAATTACGATCCAGAAATTATTTATTTAAATAAATAAGAAATTACGATATAATCAAATATAATGAATGTTAATAAAGATTTGCATCTGAATTCGATTCACTTGAATGATATAATTTGTTTTGATAAAAAGTTTGCATATTTTATATATTTTTCCTTTCTTCCTTTCATACTTGTTAATAAAATTTTATCTTGTTCATTAGAACAATGGCAATATTTAGACAAATTCATCGCTGATTGTGAAAGAAAAAACAAAAGTGACATTTTTCGAAAGATAAACATCGTTCGACGACGTATCAATGATATCGATATTACGCATCGTTTCGAAACAATAATTATTTCGATTAATCGATCGAGCATGATTGCCGGTTGTTATAAGTGTCGTAAGGTCGGCCGTTAATCATTATCGCGAGTTCCATTGTAATTGTTGAACAATTTAATATGACGAACGATTTGAAAATTAGTAGATAAATGTATATCGATATCACTTACTTCGAGCTTGAGCTCAACGATTTTCCATTTCTTCAAAAAATTGTGCTTTCGTTTCTGAATTATTCCATCGTTCATTTACACATTTATTAAAAATCAATTTCTTTGTAACACACCTTTAATTATAACGTTCACGTAACTTTTCACGCACGCGTTTTTATTTCGTATTTTGGCGATTTTCGATTTTATCTTTTGCAATTGTTGATTCGCGACAGCTGGAAATTGTTCTTGCGCGCGTGCGAATAGAAATTATACCAATGAAATGCACCGGTTTGGACGCTAGCTAAAGTCTGACTGGCAAAGCTGGCTCTGTCTGAAGCTGGTTCGTTTCACTCGTAGGTTTCCATTCGCTTTCGCGCGTCATTCCTGTCGGTGTGTATTGGGCCTTGTCAGACCAGGTCAAGCCAGGTCGAGTGAAGCACACCGTCAATAATCACCATTGTTAAATTAACTATATTAGATCACAAGTGTATGATATATATAGTGCGATTATGTATGATATGTGATTGTGTTAAAATCAAATTAAATAAAATCAAAGAAATGGCTAGTTATCGTTTTTTTTTTTAAATTTTTGTATTTTTCGATAGATAAATAGAGAAATACGTTAGGTTAAGTTAATTTTTTAATAAATATATTTCTAGATTCAAAATCATTATATTTTGTCTTTACTCATTTTTCTCTATATTCAAATACTATCAAAAAAATAATGTTCTAAAACAAAATTTGGATTATGATTTTAACTAATTAATTATTGTATACATTTTTATACATCATTTATGTTTATCTATATTTTAATGTAAAACTATTTACTGTTAAAATCAACTGTCTTGTTTGTCAACACCCAGTATATGCATGATATCAAATACAAAACGATTCGGATTATGCAAGATGAACGATCGTAGAGAAGAAACGTCGGGATAGTAAAAAGGGGAAGCATTTACATTTTGCTTTGTGATCAAAGAAAACTTCTGTCGGTCGTCTCCGACGATTGTCGACTTGTTAGTTTTTTATTTGTCAACAATTATTTCGAATATAAACGTTTTTTATTCGAGAATTTTATTTAAGAGACATATTTTCAAAACGAAGCTAAAACGAAACTTTTATCAGTTTTTTTTCTTTAAAAAAATGTCAAAAGTAACAAATTAACAAACAATAAATACTATTTATTCAAAATGTCTGCGATAATTTAATTTTTTATTAATACCATTAATGTGTTTGCAATTTTTTATTAATACCATTAATGTGTTTGCAATATATTAATTTAAATGTTAAATATTAATATGATATATATGGAATAATAATAAACTATATATATATAGAAAAGAAATAAAAGATAAATTATGCCATTTTGTCATATCGTCGAAAACAAGAAACAATATGGTAATAATTTATTACAGAAGAGAAAAAAAATGAACAATGAAGACAAGATAGAAAAAATAAGGAAAATAAAAGATAAAGAAGACGATGCTAATTCTCTTTGTATGGAAAAACCGAGCGGTCCGTTGAACAAACTAGGAGGCAAGCCAGACTTTCGAATAAGCTATTCAACCTGTGCAATATACCGTGCAAATATAGCGCATCCCGTCTAGACGACGTGACTTTTCCATCTGAACGAAAAGTTACCTCGTTATTTCCATCGAAAGCTTGATGAAGAAATAGGAAAAGCAATAGCAAAACAGTTCAAGTAAATCGAGATTTCATCGATCTTACTCGTTTTCATTCATTAAACAATGATAGTGATAGTGTCTTATCCAATTGATAAATAACTAAAAGCTTTCTTTTCTCATAGTCAATAAATTCGAATAAATGTTAACACCTCTTTTTTCTTTTTTTTTTTTTTTACACTTCTTTCAATTTAACTTTTAACAGAGATTAAAATGTTCAACAACATACCATTTCCGGTAATCTAAAAATTATACTTAATAACCTGGTTTGATTAAAACTGTATTCAAAACTAGCTATCTGTCGTTTCTTCAATGTTCAATATATGTAATTCAGAGCTGAACGATGAACAACCGCGAGAAACTGGTGCAAACTCAACTCGAATGACTTTATCTCGGCATACGGAACATACACACAATACTCTTTATGGCCATATTTTATGATATTCGACATTATTTAGTTTGTTAACTGAAATGTGGAAACTTGAATATTCTATTATTATATTATATTTTAAAATCTATTTTTCTATTGAAAAACTAAACGAAAAATATAAAAGAATGATTAATAAATAATATTTGATTTATAATTTATAATGTTGCATAATTTTAATTATGCAACATTGAAAAATAAAAAAATTCAAATGTTGTGTTTTGATCGATTGCAAATATTGATTATTATCGTTTAACGAGAATTTGATTAATAAAAAAATATATAAAATGAATTTTCAACTCGATAATTCGGAAAAACTTTATATTGTACTGTATAAATATTTTGTATGAAATTATAAAGTAGAGAAGAGAATAAAGAACAAGGTTATGTCAAAAAACATAACGATATTATATTGGAAGTTTTATGATATAATACTTCATCGTTGACATAGATTCACGAAAGATTAATGTCGTCATTCCCTTGACGATATTACGTATAAATATACTTATTCGATAAGAAAAATAAAAAAAAATCTTGAAGCAGTTATTGCACGTGAGAAAGCACTATTGGATAAATTTTATTTGATGCTCTTTCATAATCTACAAACTATTCATTGAATTATGACAAAGAAATTATGTAACAAATCGCGAAATCAGCAAAAGGTTGAATATTCCAACTCAATATTTTATAACTCACGAACACCTTATAGTAAAACTTCTCTATCATTTTTATTTCATATTCTTGTTAAAAATTGTCAATTTTCTTCATATGTTATATATACATATATTGACTTTAAATTTAGAATTAGAATATGAATAGAAATAAAACTGAATTAAATTATTTTTATCTATGATCGATTAATTTTTAAATCAGTACGAAAATCATAATCTTCAATATATTCTTAAAAGAAATATACATACTATTCAACCTATCATATCAAAGTGTCATACATGAAATAAATGCTGTGCTAACAAATATAATCAATTTAATCTATATGTCAGACTAATAAGAATAGTGACAATCACATTAATAATATTAATAGCAACAATAAGAACAATAGCAATAATCATAATAATTATAATAATAATAACGAACAAATCAGTATGCAGAGGATAGTTTCATGAAAAAAAATAAATAAATAAAAATAAAAATTTATTTCAACTAAAAATAACGAAATATATCGATCCTACTTTTTTTTTATTTTTTATTAATTGTAAACGTGAGTTTCATCAAATTTCATCAACTTTAGTAGTAATTGTAAGTAAGTAATTGTTATAGATTAAAAAAGAATTCTTTTCAAAAACGGTGTAAATAATTATGAGCAATAAGATACTGAAAAAATACCATTGTTTATTTCCTATTAATAAAATTATAATTCTTACATCTTAAAAAGTAAATTAAATTAACCGAAGAAGGTATCATCGCTGGAGCCCTCTGTCGTGCAATTCTGAAGTAATGATGCAGGGTGGTTAGACATATCGTTAACGGTTTGCTCTCCCCCTAAACTACTTCCAACACCGCCACCATCACCACCACCACCATCACCACCGCCACTACCGCCTCCATTTGTATCGGCACCAGGTATTTCGCCGAGACAAGCATCGCCACCTCCGAGTCCGGCGCCAGTTCCAACTACTCCGCTAACATTCCCTGTTCTTGGAGGTTTTACATCTTGTGAAACTTCATACGTTCGACTCTGCTGATTCTGCAAGTTGATTTCATTGTAAACGAGCTCTTGAATTTTCAACCTAATAAACATCTGTCTATCGAGCGGTAAACTCTTAAGAGGATTTCGAACGCTCATAAGAAAATGATAAGTGTCATCTTCTTCCTCCTGCGATACGCTTAACCTTTTTTGCAAAGATTCGAATCGTTTTCGATCGACTTCGGTATAATTGTTTTCCATTGCATCCATTAAACTTCTTTTCCTACCAATCTTGTTCATTTTAGGTGGAGGCATAACTTGATGCAGGCCATCGTCATTTGAGAGCAAAGATTGGCAAGAATCACCATCTAAATCATCGAACTGAGTTTCCTCGTGTCCTTCTAAAATATCAATTTGAGGCTCGATTTGTGTTTCTTCCGGCGATGATCGAAGGGCTGCCGAACAATTCTGTGAAAGAGTGCACCCAATCACTCTCGAGTTCATTTGATCTCGTAGAAAGAATAGGCTCTTGAACCAAACCCATTTCGAGTCGTGCTCATTAGCACCACCATCGCATTTTCCTCGATAAGTTTTCTTTAATTCGTTGCGGAAATTGTCTCGTAAATGCTTCCATTTCGATTTCGCGACGTCCGCTGGAAATGAAGACTATCTGTTAATCTTTTGTTTTGAAAAAAATTTTTCGAAATTTTCTTATGTAAATTTTTTCGCCAAAACAATTTTCGCAACTTATTATCAATAATAAATGATAATCAACGAATAAGTATATAAACATTTCATTAATTTTTAATTGATAGAAACAATTTATAAAAAATTAAGAAACAAATACATTAATGGAAAAGCAATGCTATCAATTATTAAATTTTCTTTAATTGCACAAAGAATAAAATTGATTTTAAACAATATAAATTGAAACCGCAATTTCGAACATAATTTTTTTGAACCAGTTATTAAAATTGTATAAAATGTTATATTCATTAAAACCTATATCCGATTGATTTTAATTTGAAATTTTTTAAAATAATTATTTTTCGATAGTTCTATTTTCAAATTAAAAATACATATATTCGAATTCATAATCAATTATATTATAAAAAAAATCATTAAAGTTGTTCATTTGTCTGCTTCATCACTTGATTGATAAATAAAAGGAATCATATATATTGATGGCATAGATTGCAGGAAAGGAAATACATACGTAGTAGGGACGGTTGAAATGAAGCAGTGGGAGGGAAAGAAAAAGTGGAAGGGGACGAATCGCAAGAGAAAGAGAGAGAAGGCAAGAGAAAGAGTGAGAGAGGTGTGTGACGCAGGCGCGAATGGAAGAGGTGGAAAGAAGAGAGAAGAGGGAAGAGGAAAGCGAGGCGTATACTCACTGGAGACCTCGCAAGCCCTCGCGATCTCTCGCCACATCTTCAGGATGACGTCGCGATTGTGATAGTTGACGTTTTTCTGGTCCCAGATCGCGGGCCTAGCGTGTACCTCAGTGATCAGTCTCTGGAGATCCATCGTCATCGCGTTCCTACGCGCGTTCGCGTTGCATCTCCTGGACGATCGCTTGCTGGCAGTTCGACGGTTGAGAAGCGTGTTGCCGGAGCTGAGGGAGGAGGCAGCCGCGCGCGAGCCGCTTCCTCCTCTGGTTACGTTTCGTTGAGATTCGTTGGTGTGCGAAAGCCGATTTTTCGGTGGTTTCGTCGATTCCTGACTGGATATCACTTGCCCTCCTAGCTGTTGCGGTTCTTCCTTAATCGCGAGAATTGTGTCGACAGTTTCGTTGACGGTGCTTACTTCGCCACCGCCACCGCCACCGACGACGACGAGTTCGTCCTCGTCGTCGACGTTACTATTTCGTCGTTGTTGTCGTCTCCTCTTCTTCCTTTTACGCCTGGCGATACGAGAGCTGCCGGCCGAGGAGGAACTTGTGAAGCCGAGCCGAGCGGAGGATCGCAGGCGAGACGAATCCAGGGCTTTTTCCTCCTCGACTCGTGCACGCGTGCCGCCGTCCATACACGGCCGGTACACGCGCGCGTCCAGCCAGGAAGACGCGCACTCGCCTCAAGAAACAAGTTCGATATGAGTTGCTCTGCCAAAAGAAGAGCAGTCAATTATTAAACGCGCGCGCACATTCTCGGCTGCTCGCGATACGCCGCCGATCCGTTAGCTGCTTATCCGCTCGCTAACCAGCGCTACCGCGCCGAACCCAAGTCCGAACCTTCCTTCGCTTTTGCCTATGGTTTCAGCTTCGGCTTCGGCCTCGCTCGAGTTTGCGCTCGGCTCCGCTCGGTTCCGCTCGGTCCGACTCGGTTCCGCTTCGCGCGCCACCGCTCGTCACCGCTTGTCACCGCTTATAATCTCCGCTTGTCTCTCAAATCTTAAAATTTTGCAATCGTTCTACTACTAAAGCTTCAATCTTTTCGTTTTTTCTTTTTTTTTTTTCCTTTATTCTATTTTCCTAATTGATATCGTTATATTTTTGATGATGACTCAAATTTGGACTTTCAACCTCAAAATCAAACATATTTTCGAATATTCAAAAATTCTGCCCTGTCCTGTTCTTTTCTGCCTTTATACCACTCACGAATTCACCGATTCCTGTTTCATCTGCTAAACAATGTGCTGCACCAATTTCCCATCGAACCCTTCTTCCTTTCACCGCGATTCTGATACGATATGTTGTGAGAATGCATTTCCGCCTTCCTTAACACGTTGCATTTTGATCGTTCTTATCAATTTCTCTTTATAATACTCATTTCTTGTCCTAATAGGATTAGAAATATAAAAAGTTGAAACAATTATCGTTAATGCGTGGATCACGATGTGTATTTGAATTAAAGTTTTATAATTGATGTCGTTTTCCGATCGATGCTAACCCGAAAAGCTGTTTGACAGTTGCTCCTTTCGATGCGTGCATTTGTCACTAAACAAGCGTCCTGCGCTCTCAGTTCGGTATCTCTCGGTACAGCTCGTCTCGGCTCGGTTCAATTCGGCTCGACTCGGTTCCATAGCGACGCGACGTTTACTGCTTACTGCTATTCGTTTACTTGCTCGTTTCCAATGTCTGCCGTAACGATGTAGCACGTGATCGTTTAGTTCGGCTTTGGTCGTTATTTTTCGATTTAATTCGATATATATATATGTAAATCGATATAATTCGATTCGAATCGAATTTAATCGATTCATCTTTGTTTGATTTGATTTAATCTGAAAATGTTATTTGGTATATATAGAATATAAAACACAGTATACACGAAAAATATAACGCAAGATACAACAAATTATATTGATGGCTAGTATATGATAATTCTAAACGTATATATAATATATGTTAAGTATTAAGATGGAATGGGAAAGAATATGGATTATATTATACGCAAAAGTGGATAATAACAGATTAATTAACTTGCATATGTATCCAGTCAATTCATCTAACCTATACAAAGCGCAACTCAGGTATGACCTGATATTATATGTATTATATTATAATTATAATAATATCCTAAATATAAAAATATTAGATATTTTAAAACTCTACTAGAAACATATATTAAAATGGGATGCTTTATTATTTTACATTTTTATATTTTACATCATCTTTTATTTTACATATCTTTGCAAGATATTTTACATATCTTTTTTTTAATTCAATAAATTGTATTAGATGAAACAAAACCTATCTAAGATAAATTAGATTTTAAATAATACCAAATATTATCATTATCTAATATTTGATTAGGTTGCGGTATCTTCTTATTGATTTCGCCTACAAATTCCTGCAATACTTTCGAAAATTCTGTATTTACCATATTTATAATATTTGTACGAAATACTTTAGTAATAGCTTTAATTGCAGCATTTACTATTGGATCACCTATATTACCCTTAAAAACGATATCAAATTTGCTGAAAATAAGAAAAATTTTAATCAAAAAATTAAAATTACTTTTCATACATATTATATATATTATAGACAAAGTTGATAAAAGCAGTTGATAAAAATTTGTATAAATATAATAATAATTACTCTAATTTAACAATCTTAGCCATAGGAACAGCAACTTTATAATTGTTCATATTTAAATCTATAATTATTCGTATCTCCATATCCTTGATATAACCATAAACTTTTCCTTTTTTATTGATTAGTAAATCGTAAAGATGATAATTATAATTAGCCTAAAAAATTAAAATTGAAATATTATTATGATTTTTCTTAAAAGTATATTCGATAATATTATGATTCTTTTAATCTTTTACCTTAAGATCATTGAATCCTAGAGTTGCATCTAGAGTTAGAATTTTGTTTTCAAAAGACAAAATAATATCGTTTGCCCGATTTACATTTGATAACCCTTCAAGAGAACCTTTCGTTAAATTAAGAGTTCTATGGTGAATTATTACTCCTTTCTGTTATAAAAATAAAAAAATAATTATCATTCAAATTTGATATATTTTGATCAAGTTTATTATATAAATTATATAAATACCAGATTTTGGGATAAATCTTTCAATTTCATAGGATCTAATCTATGTTTTAAAATAAACATTTGAATTGAAGGTAATGCCATGTCGAATAATTTATTGAGTATAGCCGATATCTTTCCAGAACTTTCATTATTTTTTCTGTATTTTGAGAAAAATATATTTAAGATTAGTCTTTTTTCTTGAAAATATTTTTTTTAATTTAATATTCTCCATAATTATTGCGAATGAATACAATTATATAATATTTCATTGTACAATGAATATCATCGAAATTCATGTATTAAAGACAAGATAATTAATTTACTAATAATAATTAATTTATTTTTATTAATTATTAATTAATTAAAAGAACTTACGCAGCATCTTGAAAATTCGCAAAACTAGCAGTGAATAAAATGGAAAGTAAAAAAAATAATCGAATTTGAACAATCATAATGAATTGATGTAGACAAATGTTTAATTATCGACGATGTGACTACCGTATACTTATCTTCTGTATTTTTATTGTGATTTCGTTGCATTATCTAGTTGCTTATCTGATTATCGAATTTAATCAGTAAAGAAAAGTATTTTATTGACCAAAGAACTCAGAATAATGATATAAATATATCATATCAACTGATATATCGATAAAAATAGATATGATCAATAATATATAAATATTCTGGTGCAAACTGAATTGTATAGATTTTGAATTAAAAATAAATTATTGTATTACATACAATAATTTCTTGAAATTTTGAGTTTTATAAATAATAATAAATATAATAATAAATAACTTAAAAATGGCTGCAAAATAAGATTTCTCGCTTATGAGATCAATATATTCTCGAATGATTGTTTCTTTAATTTTCTTTGTATTTTGACAAAAGAAACATTGGTAATAAACCGTTATCGTTTGACTCAACAAAATACTTTTATTAGAGAGAAATCTGATAGACCTAAAAATAAAAAATTGTTTAATACAATATTTATTCTAATATGTAATAATTTCAGAAATAAGATAGTAAAAGATAATAAAAAAATTTTCAACTTTTGCTTATCGAAAAAAATTTGAAATTCAAATATTCGATTGATTAATATAAAATATTTATTTAAATAAACTCAGTTGATAATATGAAAATTAATGCGAATTCATTAGAATTAATTACTTTTATAAATATTCTTTTGTATTGGTGTGAGAAAAATAGTAAAATAAAGAAATAAAAAATAAATAAAATAGATAAAATATAAAATAATTTTTAAATTATACGTTTCAAAGAAATTATCCTATTATTTTTTATAAAAAATTGTTAAATATAATGTCGATTTTGTTTTATCTCTATCTGTAATAATAAATCTATCAAAAAATCACGATAAATTGTGCAACAGGTTTAAAGAAAAAAAAGATGTTAATTCAATGCAAACAAAAAATAAAAATAGGAAAAGCTCGAAAGAAAATATAAATTTCATCGATCATTTCCTAGCTATTTTTTTTTTTATTTTTTTCATTTTATTTTTTTTTTTAAATTTACAATTTCAATTATTTACTATTCTAGTAGATAAATGAATGATTTTAGGATAAAAAAATAAAAGAAAAGTAAATTACTTTCAATAGAAGAAGTACTTTTGTAGAAAAAAGCATAACAAGGTAAAAAAATCTTCGAATATAATTTTTGATTTCAGAATTTATTATATTTTTGCAAAAAATTTAATTAATTATGCATTATATATATTATTTATAAAAAAATATTTTTTGTTCACTTAAAAAATAAAATTAAAATTTATTTTGATAAATTGCACACTTGTGATAAAATGATACGTGATTTCAATATTTATTGTAACAAATCATTGTAATCATGTTTACTAAGAAACTTACCATAGTATAAAAAAAATCATATGTTCTTGATCATCATAATTTTGATAAAAAAAAAATGAAATTTTCTTCATATCTTCTTATATATAAAAAAAAAATCTGTGAAGTCTCTTTCTTTTTTCTGTCTTTCTTTCTGTTTTTCATCGTTTTCTCCTTTCTTCATTATATCCTATTATTTGTATCATATATATAATGGCAGTGTCTGAATATTTATATAATCGATTCTAATATTTCATAATTAGAAATATTATATTATACATTCATCTAAAAAAGTATGTTGAAGCTTGATAATATAAAAAAGAAATTATCAATTCATTCGCTATATGCTTTAAACTTTTCTTACAAATAATATGCATATAATAATATCTTATTATTTGAGAAAAAATTAAATTGTAATTTCTTTTAATTCAATAAAATTTTTAGACATATTTTTCATTTTTAAAAAAATCAATATCACAAATAATTCGAAACAATCCAAAATACATTATGGAATTATTTTCAATATTTTTCGAGATATATCATAATCGAGTCTTACATTCAAAAATTTTGATGAATATCGATCAATCAATCAAATAAGGTCAATAAACTTATTTTATTTTCAATTTTTTTATTAGTTCTCGATAATATAACTCTCGATATGAAAAGTAATTGATCCATTAATTTGATGAAATACATATTTATATTTACTTTTTTTTTTATATATATTTTATATATATTTTTGTTCATTTAGTAATAATAATAATAATTTTTAAGAAATTATATTATGTTAAATAAATAAATTGTTCTTCTGACATATTTATTACTCTTGATTGATTTTACTAATGTTACGAAATATTAATCATGTAATTTTTAGCAATATTATGAAATCATTTCGCATTCGATTTTTCACAAACAATCATTAATTGATCAATGAATTAAACATTTCATAATTTCCAAATTAGTTTGCTTATTTACAAATTGTTATTGATTAAATTTGTAAAAAGTAAATTAGTAAAATCTAATAAATATGTCAAATTAAACTACGAAAAATAAGAGCACGGACTTGAACCATGTCGAGTTAAGTATAATGATTCGTCGATATTATCGACGTAAATAAGTATCGTTCGCTATGTGGTGCCCTCACGAAGCTATCACTACTAACGTTACCTTTTAATCAATATATTTTTCTTTCTTTTTGATCAATTCAATCAAGATAATGCGACATAGAGAAAATAAAACCGAACAATCAAGACAATCGAACAAATCGAAATAAAAAAACTGTTGTTAAATATATACAAAAATAACAAATCATAAAACTAACATTTTTTTATTATTACTTGAAATTATTTCATCATATGAATTTCCATATTTCATCATATGAAATATTGTATTTTAGATACATTTATTAGGTTAAATGATCTCATTTCTCATATGAAATTGTATTGACCTATATTGATCTTTAAAAATTATCACTATCATTAAAACGCAATTAAAAATATGAAAATTTATTTATAATTTTTCCAAAAATCGTTTGTTTTTTGTGGCATGAAAGATAAATAATTAGGGAAATGGGTGAATCATAAATTCATCATTAATAAATAAATAAGATTAAATTTAAATTTTTGATTTTGAATAAACTTTTTTTATGTTTTGTAAATAGACAATGCAAATTTAATATTAATTAAATATTTGAAAATGCATTTTTATAAATAGGCGTTATCATACAATTATAAAATTTTTCAGTTATTTCAAATATATAATTACATATATTTTAAATATTAAAACTGTTAATCAAAAAGTTGATAATTCACTTTCTATCATCTATTAAATTTATAATAATAATCCAAAAAATTTATTTAAGATTTATCCATTTAATAAATGAAAAATTTATGTTATATGAAGCACTTGCGCGCGCAGAATAAATGACCTTGCGATATTACGCAATAGCTCGAAAATTATCGATTTATAGTGATTCATTACAAAGAAAACTTTACAAAACAACATTGAAGTTAAAAATATATTATCATTTTACTAATGTTATTTTATATCGTTGCAAAACATCGTTCTCAATCGAATATTGTTTGTCATTATCGAATATACTCTTTGATGCCATCCTAATCTTGTTGTACACGGTAGATCAATAGGAAAGTTTAATCAGTAAGCGTAGCTATTATCGTTTAGTTGTGAAATTAATTTGTTTTTCAGTGCGATCATGCGCGATCGCATATAGGTGTAAATACTTCCGTTTTGATCGAGCCAATTCTAGCTACAATACCACGTAATAGTGTAAATATACGTAAACAACGTAGCAGTAGCCAGCGTATTTTTTTGTTTGCAAGATAGCTTTGTCACTAGAAATTGTTTTTTGACCTTCGTACCAATATCTTTTCGATTGCGTTACTTGCTATTTATTTAGTCATTTATTTTTTTAATAATATTATGTTGTATAAATAATATATATAATTACATATTTTCATTTTACTGATAAATTTTTGATGAAATTAATTACTTTAACGAATTTATCATCAAAATATAAAAATTTAAGTTGAAATTAATTTAAGATGATGTAAAAAAACAAGTTTTTTTCATTGACGTAATTGTCAAAAAAAAATATATTATTTCATGATAAAATATGACGGGATGATAGTCAGTTACGTACAAAGCAATATAGGTCAATGATCCAATAGCGTGTTTCACTTCCTCCCATTCTTCTAAGTAAGAAGGCAAAAGAAGGCTCGACCGCTGTTCCGAGTATCCAACAACCAATCGGAAAGCTTTCGATGGTAAAAACATAAGCCACGTGCGTTTTCTCTGCTGAAGGATCGTATTTACCAGCATTACAATTCTTATACATTACATACAATATATATGTACAGATATGTTCAATGTATAGATATGTATGTTATGACGCATGGTATATATTAACTTTAGATCAGCGTATATTTGCTAAGCCATCGCAAGAGGCCACGATAAAACGTGAGCGCAGTATCGAGAGTCAAGAGATTCTCCGGTCGCTGACTCAGTCAGTTTGACTTGAATGTTCGCACGAAACGGTTCATACAAGTTTCTCTTCCGTTGATAGAGATTTTTTATTTTCGCAAAATTTGTCAAAAGTACGCGCTAAATCATATATTCGTTTGGAATTAATATTAATTTTGAAGAAATAATTTAATCTTTCGCAACAGTGGAATTATGGACCATATATAGGTGAGTGAGAGTTTATATCAATGGTAGAAACAGAAATATTAAGCTTAGAGTGCAACTATACATGTCTATAAGTATTTAAATATATGTTGGTTTTATTATACAATGCGATTTAACAATAAATAAAACACTTGTTTACATAGTTATTATATATGAAAACGCTATTTGGTTAAAAATATATTAAATTTTATAAAAATAAAACGAAAATGAAAATGAAAACATACTTTTTCCAAACAAACATCAAGAAGAAACGAAGAATAATTGCATAATTTATCTATCTTCGCTTCTTCCATTTGGCAATGTTTCTTTCGATTTTGTCGTGCATATTTTCATAGATTCGATTTTGTATATTTTTATCGAAAGCTCAAAACGAAAGAATAGAACGATCAAAGCTCAAAGATCAAAGCTCAAAGCTCAAGATCTAAAATAAGGTTTATTTTTCGTATATATTTTTCGGTATA